CGTCTGTGCCAATCAGCATTGTGCACGAGGATGAACGGGTAACAGGACGAAGGAGCCAAGTGGCGCGGCGGATCGATTTAACGGGAATTTCGCGTACCCGGACTCGGACTTCTCCGCGTGTCAGCGCGACGAATCCTTGCGCGGAAAGAGCAATGCAAATTCTTTAGCTCGGTTCTCTCGCAATCACCCGGGGACTTTCGCTCGCACGATTTAAGTACAGAAAGATGTAACTGCGTCATTGCTTCTCGCGTGTTTTTCACGTCTCTTGTTGTTTGTCCGTTTCTACATTGTAACAGACGGATCGATAAGTTCAACGTAACACGCAATCGACGTTCTCCCTTGATCAATGTCGACTCTCACTTTTCAGGCTTACACTGGGCTGGCAGGCTGAAAGAAGTGGTCACAATTCGAACTTGAATTATATTGTTACCAAAGACTATATTTAACTTTTTTTCAGGTGGATAATCACGAGTCCGAGATCGGAATTACAAAATTAAAAATAGCGGATCCAATATAGCAAAGCAAGATATAAAAAATAGACGTATTTTAATATTTTGTGTTGTATATAAAATAAACACTGTTGTACTAATTTGTGAATTTTTTTTGTGAAATGTATAAAAATGGCCGAAAACTATAATATATTCTAAAATAATAAAATATTATTTGACTATCGGTTTATCGTCAAAGTTCTGAGTGTGATTTTTTAGTTAAAATAATTTAGAACCTAAAAGAACGAAAAAATTAACAGATATTTTATTTTAGTATATATAATAAAATTAACGATTTTCTTTTCAAATCTAATTAATCATACAAAAAAAGTATATTTAAAAAATTCAAATGTTTACTACGTGGACAGTAGTTATACAACCATCATGCAACTTTGGAAAAGCTGCAAGAAGAGCTGCATATTACAATACTCTTTCATATCACTCTCCGAACCGAATCCTGACTACTGTTTTAGGCTTGCCATCCTATAAAGCTGCCTCGTAAATTAAAAAAATGATCACACCGGCAATATTTACGCGACTCTCGAAGAGAATCCTTCGGAAAGTCTTCGATAATTCTGTATACTTCTAATTACCACTTCCTCATACCATCCGGGTTATCCTTGTCCTAATTGAATAATTTAAATAAGATATTCGTTCTTTTGCGCTCGCAGCATCCTCGTCGTCATCGTTTGCCGTGCGCCCGTGTAAAGACACTCTCTGGAATTAATAGACAAAATTCGCGAGCGTCGACGTGACACGCGGCGGAGCCGGACGTGGTTCGCAATTAGTGCCGTTAAAGAGACAACGCAGAGGAACGAGCGGCGCTTAGAACGTCATAAAAACATCGCACTTTTTCTCGGAGAGCCACGATTATGCCGCAATCATCGGCATCGCGATAATTATACCATAGAGTCGAATCGTACCGGGACTTCCAGCGGCGTATCTGCTATTACGATCTCCTTTTATGCAATCTTATGAACGAATAAGATTAGTAAGCTTCGAAGAAGTATTGCTGTTTTTTTTCTTTTCTTAGCCGTCCATGAGGGTAGTTAAAATAAGTAGTTAAGATAAGCAAAAAGGATACTGTGTGTTTACATAAAAGACTCGAAGAAATAAAATTCCAGAAAGATATTAACGAGTAATAGGAATTGTATTGTGCACGGTAAATCAATACGCCGTTTATTCGAACAAAGCTCGAAAACGAGATGACTGAGTCATTTGATTTGAAAAATTGCGATTAGTCACTGCCATCGAGCGGGCTCTCGCTACAAGGAAATCGATTCGCAATTCGCCCGATAATTGGCGGCCGAAACGAAGCGCGATAGTTCCAAACCCGGTTTACGGACGCACAGAGGGCAAGGTACAGTCGCACGTAGAAACACGTTAGAGAATCTACTTTTTCGCGAACGGCAGTTTAATAAAAGCGTATTATCGTAACGGTACCTAACGGTTAGAAATCGCCGGTTGTAAAGCAGCCGCCGTCGCCGCCGCCTCAACAACTGCGAGAATCCAGGAAGAGAGTACGTATACCAGTATGATACAAAACGATGTACCGAGAAGAGCGCCGATAAGTGTCGAAGAATGTTGCGCATTCACCCGCGGGCGGAGTTCTATTCTTAGCACTCAATGGCGAAGCTAGAAAACACTCGAAATTTACGATCTCCGAGTATGACATCGCACACAGTGGCTGAATCTTATTTGCATATTTATTTGTATAGAATTACGGGAAAATATTATCACTTCAGTATCTTCAATACTGAGAAACCCACTTAGTCGACTGAAATAAAATTCTTATTTGGATAAATAAATGTTTTGGTTGTGAGAACGAAAGTTTGGTTCTCTAAACTAAAGATTTGGTTCTCTGAAACGAAAATGAAGAAAAGTGTGCTTCAGAAAAAAAAGTTTGGTTCCCATAACTAAAACATTTATTTATCCAAACAAAAATTTTATTAAAATTTACTCGGCTGCTCTCAAATTCCCGTTTTTCTTTTTGTTAACCGTAATATTTTAACAAAAATCGGAGAGCAGCACCTATGTTCTGAAAGAAACATTTTGCGACTCCGTACGCACTGTTTCTTTCACAATAAACGCAACACTATTATTAACCTGGTCTTTCGTTTCTGACAAATTTTTTGACATTTTCTTGATGGGTATTACGTCGGGAAATTATCTGATGCATGATAGAGAAGCTTTTACCATTTAGATATATTGTTTCTCCGCAGACTGATTCGCTTATAATGCGCCTGCAATCGAGATAGCTGGCTAGCTAACTATTCAGCGAGCGAGCGAACGAACGAGCGAGTGAGCAAGGTGAGGTCATCGATCTCGGCGTGGATAAGCCAGATCATCGCGAGATCGAGATTGTGAAGATAGTTAATTACCCACGGGCGTGTCGGCCGCGAAAACCAAGCGCGAGTGTAACGGGTGGCACACTTCAAACGATAGAAAAAGATATTTTTACAGAAACGGGGGAAAGGCTATCGGAAGAGCATCACATTTCGATCGGACTCGTCGAGTTTCCTTCATCTTTTGATATTACTCGTGACTTACAAAACATATATTACGGGTAGTTCACATTAGCTACCCACGCGAATATTACTCAAGTTAAAGCCCATTGAAACTCGACGAGAGTCGGGTGAATTTAACTTTGACCGACAAGACGCGCGAGACTCAATTAAAACTAGTTTGACAACTCCTTGATTAACGCCGACCTTGGGCGGGAACTCCGTACGGGTGCACCGCGGCTCCGATAGTTATTATTCGGCTGTGTATCGACATTCTGGCGGATGAGCGATTTTCAATGGGGGAGTCACCGCCGTATCGACGCGTACAGAACGAAACGATATGTAAACCGACGGTTTACATAATAGTGGCCATGCATACACGCACCGGCGCGTGTATAGCACGCGTGTGCGACTACTCATCGAGGAGCGCTCGATGAGTCACTGCGACCAAGAAGATGGAACAATTTAACCTGGTGGTCGCACACACGCGATTTATCGAGTCCGTGATACATTCGTGTTGCGTAAAATGCTCCTCTTTAGCATCCCAGCAACGATAGGAATCCCAATAGATCTCCGGCAAAAATTCGTCGCCACTCGCGGATAACGCGAGAGTCACGAGGAGGATCCGGCCACTTGGGAATAAAGAACGAAATAGACATTGTTTGCGCACTTTCGGGCGTTTAGGTATGTTGGACACGCGCGAGACGATTCGTTTACGCTCATTGAAGGAAGCGCCTCCGTGACGAATGAGAGAAAGACACGTAAGTACGGACGATGTGAATTTTAGATGACGCGAAGATCTGTCCTCAAGTGAAGAGGAAAGGTCGTTCGAGAGGCGGAAGAACCAACAGTTTGATCGCTTAATAGACGTCTCCCGAGTGTACCCAGGAGATTGCTCTGAGAAAGTATTATCCGAACCAACGAATTCACGCCAAACCGCAAAACTAACAAGATTCTTCAGGATGCGATAGAGCATAACGTGCCCGTTGAGGATCTCTCGGCTGTGTAATTATTTTTTTATCGAGGCAGTCCCTCGTTCTTTTGTTGTTGTTCTATTCACTGAAGAATAGAGCGTTTTTGCAGTTAGCTTCCTTCTCGACGGGCCAATTGCCCGTCGAGAGAGCTCGAGAAAAAGAGAGAAAGAGAGAGGGGAAAAAAAATTAACGGTCGATTGATCTCTTTTTAAATGTAATCAAGGTCGCTCGGCCTCTGTTACAGCCTGATCAGCCCTGCCATTGCACTTCCGCTCGACATATTTGAATGGTCCCAAATGAATGCTTTTAAAACACAAACGCACGCGACACGTCATGCAGGTACGCCGGCTGAGCAGGTGCGTCCGTCCTCAACAACGAGCAGCCGAGGTACCACACAATGAGTAGTACCGATCGTTCAAAACTCTGAAAGGAGTTAATGCAATGATTCTCCGGTTCTACGATCAACGCATCTGCAGGAATCCAACTCGCCTTTCGAGTTTTCCATCGCTTTCCACGGAGAGCAACCTCGCGATCCTCCTCACGATCGTCCGTTCGCCGCAGAGCACTTGATGCGCGATTACGACGGACAAAAGGCTCAAGCTCGCCCAAGGCGCGACGAGCAGTGGGTCAGCAACACGAGCCACGCCGCGCGAATCCGTGAACCCGACATCGAAAATCTCATCGGGATCACGAGGCGCAAACACCGGGCGTAGACGGCGTGGGCCGGAGCGGAAAAGAGCGAAGGCATCGGCGAGCGAGCCGCGAGGCAGAAGCGAGCGAGCGAGCGAGCAAGCGTGAGAGAGAAAGAGAGGCGGCAAGAACAGGGAGCGGTGTAGGAGGAAGAGAAAGAGAGAGGAGGAGATGGAGAACAAGGAGGGAGGATAAGGTAGGTAGAGTCCAAGAAGGGCGGCGAAGAGAAGACTAAAAGAGGGGCCCCTCCCGGTGGCTCAGGCGAGGAGGGTCGGGGCCCCCTTGCACGATCCTGACCGCCAGCACGGGTGGGTAAATGGGTATATAAGCGGGGCCCCGGCGATTCCATCTCGACACACGACCCAACCTTCATCCCGATCGCCAACGGTCCTTCGCAAACGAGCGTAATCGCACGCGCGTGAAAAAAGAGAAAGACACAGAAAAAGAGAGAGAGCGAGAAAAGAGAGGGAAGCCCCCCGCGTCACTCCACGAGTCCACTTTTATTCGTTCTTCGCACTCCGATCAATCGCGCCGATCGACAGTTCGCGCGAACGGTGAGAGAGCCGATTTGACAGAGAAAAAGAGGAGCAAAAGGAGCCAAGGAAGAGACCGCCGTGCCCGACGCCGACTCGTCTGGCAAGAGTTTCCCGATTACGGAGGAGAGAGCAAAACGTGAGTACCTTTTTTACGCAGAATATTCGTGAGCAACCCTCCCTCGAGCGAAGAAACTCCATCCTGAGACCCGGGGCTCGGGGGGGGATCGCGTCGTTGCGATCTCTCGACGGTTGCGCAACGACGAATCTGCCGAGTCCACGGATTTAGCCGAGACCCGCCGCCTCTGTCGAGATACCTGTCTGTCGGCGGGACCGGAGTTTCTTCGTCGAACGTCATCTGTATCTCATAAACGATCGGACGTTGACATCGCGAAAGAGAGAGAGAGAAAATCGGACCCGAATCGTCCACGCCCGATGGTCGACCGCGTACTCGATTGTCTGACGGAATCTTCCGACGCACTTCATCGTCTCAATTAGCGATCAAAGACGACAAATTCCGGCAGAATTTCACCGAGATACGCCGTGTCGTTCGCGCTCCGGTCGCTTTCCTCGCGTCTCCGCCAACCGTTTTCACGCTTCTGCCGCGACAGTCGAGACCCGGAGGTACAGGTAAGATCGCAGGTGACGGAGCCACCGGGCGACAGTCCAGCCGAAGTCTCGAGTCGGAGTGACAAGTGCGGTCGACAGACGCGGTCGGTTGACTCGAAACGATCGCTCGACTTGCGCCTGTGTGCGGGAGACTTTTATCGAGACTCGCGCGGGGCTAGCCGCGGACTTCTTTCGCAATACGCGTAGGACTCGATACCCGAGAGTCTCGCCGCGCGGCAAAGAGACAGTTTTGAAAGTGGAGCGCGATAATGCCATTGTTCGCCGTCCGTTGGCATTCGTTCAATTAGCCGGGGCGCGGCGGGATTTTCGAAACGGATGATAAACGCTTCGGCTCCGTCGCTATCAAACGATCGGCTCGCCGACAGCTGAGCTGTCGTAATCGTAATCGCGCTTCCAATTCGCACCGGTTCGTTTTCGTACGAGGGAACGCGATCTCAGAGATCCAGCGCGCGTTATGAGAGAGAATGAGAAACGACTCTCTCCCACGTTGCAGCCGCGTCGCTTGCACGTCGACTGCACGAGTTATTAATTCGTACGAATGCAAACGCGTGTCTGTCTGTCTGTCTGGTTATGACGTGTACGAAACGGGCTCCTCGCCTATTCTATGTTAATGAAGGACGACTAATTCACGGGCGGCTCGGTGTTTCACGCTTCTCAGGAAAGAAAACGCGTTTCGTCGTTCGCGTGCAAACTGCAATTCGCCTCGCCTCACGTCGTCATCATCGTCGTCGTCCTCTCGTCGTCGCCGGTATATATAATTTGTAGATTTCTCAAGTATCAACCGCGCGCGCTTTTACACAATTTCGCGCCCCCCCCCCCCTCGCGCGCTTCGCCGACCCCTAATTAGCCGGCTTAATCTGTCAATCTGCGGAGTACCTGCGCGGCGAGGTCGCCGAACGACGACGATGTCTCACGTCTTCCTGCAGCTTTCTTTTCGCAATCCACGAGCCTCGATTAGTCCCCCGCCGCCCCCTGTGCTCGTCCTCCACGTCGCGACGTCGAAGTGGATCATGGCGCGCTCAGGTCGGACGCGAGCGGATCTCGCGATTTCGTCCCACACGAGCGAAACTTCGCGAGTTCGCTCGGACCGAGGCAGTTTCGATCGGAGGAGCCTCGCGGCTTCGATTCGGAACGTCGCTCTTTCAACGCGCCGCAATCGACAGCCTCGTGGAGCGAGAAAAAAAAGAGAAAGAGAGATAGAGAGAGCAGAAGGCTATAATCATTGACGTTGAAGCGCTTGATGGTGCGCGCGACTTCTTTGTGGTACCATTATTACATCTCTGATGATCTTGATGAGGTAATCGGCCTCCATCATCTTTCACAGGCATTTCCTGCGTCTATCGACCTGTGTCGCCTTTGTGTCGGCATTCGCGTCGCGATTAGCAGCTTTAGCTCTTCCTCCGCGGATTTCACGTTTCGATTCTAACGTTCCCGTCGTCGTTATTACTTCTTCTTCTTCTCCCCGTCTCTCCACTCTCCCGATCTCTTCGAGGATTGCGCAGAACGGAAGGTCGTTACGTCGAACGCGAAATCGGCGTGACATCGGCATCACCGGCAACGACGCAAACACGCATCGACGAGTACGTTCTCACGTAACGGCGTATATAGGAAATAATTAACGAAACGTCCGTGATGCGCGGATAATAAATCGACGCGTATGGTACTTGGAATTAACTGGCAATTAAGCCCGTTGCGACGACGCTGCGTGTATCCGGTGCAATTACATCCGCGCGTGATTTCGCGAAAATATTTGGACAATTGAATTTCAGCCGGCGAGTCGAGAGGATACGCGAAATTTCACGATTCCTCCGTCGCCGGCTCGGTTGACGGTTCGCACGAGAGCCGGCCTTGTGCGAAATCGCAGTCGGAAAGGCATTTCTGCGCGCGTTAACGCCAGTAGCCTGTTGTTGTCGGTAGTTAACTCGCGCTGACGTGAGCGAGCGAGCGCGCGTTGCAATTTGTATTGTATAATAAGCAGGGTCGAAAGTGAGTCGGCGAGCTCGATTCACTTTCTCGATCGCGACACAAGGTGCCTTCGACCGACCGATATCGGTGATATCGCGGCGAGAGAAGGAACGCGGGCGGCCGGCTTCGCAAGAACGACCGTTGCAACCGCCGGCTGCAATTGCATTGCCAAACGCGAACTCGCGCCGTAAAAAACTGGACCGTTTTGCCGTCTCCCGCCCGTTCACTGTCCCGGCTTACGCCTCGTTGTTCCCGTCTTCGTCGCCACTTCTCTCTCGCCATCCTTCTCGCCTCTCTCGACCGCCCTGCGACGCATTCCGGTTTGCCGCGGCCGCACATTTTCCACGAGCCGTACAACAGCCGACCGACGCTGCGTCGTCAGCCCCTCCGTTCTACTGTGAAGGGAAGCGGAAATTCCCGCGGCCGAAGGCTACCGAAATCTTACTTATTCATTTATTTGTTTATTTATACACGAGAAATATTCCTTTCGTATAGTAGTTTAGATGTCTTACATAAGCAGAGATTTTGTAATTGTGGACGTTTATGTAAGTACAGAGGACTCCATTAATGCTGTCCCCTTCCCAAGGCATAGTGACAGCGAGAGTTTCCAATCAGGATCATTATTTGCGCATCATGACTGTTGATAATTTGATAAATCGACAACGATCCTCCAAAGCAGCAGTCAAGATGCACGAATACTACAAAAATAACGCACTTTAATCGGAAATTTTCAATGTTTTTATACGTGCAGAGAAGAAAGAATTAGCTCCCATAGTTGCATACTAGCTGTCCATATAATATAACTGAAATTTAGTTGCCCGATCTCGTTTTTGTGGAAGCTAATTCTTTTTTTCCCGTATACAATTATAGTCATAAGAATTAGCACAGCCAAAAACTAGGTCTGATAATTAAATTTCAGTTCTATCACACGGACAGCTAGCTTTTAGCCGTGAACGCTAATTTTTTTTTCCACGTAGAGAATGAGAAAGCATTAATGGGGTATTCTCTACTACTAGAAAAAAAAAGGAGAACAAAATTATATTTTGCGAATTTAATTAAATCCGTTCACGACGAGAATTCTTCATTGGCGCTTCGCCGAAAACCCTTGGCGAGATATCGCTTCGCGATCTGTAATTGAACGCGAAGGTGAGATTAGAACGTGACCTCTGGCGACGACTTTCCATTGAGTTGGTTGATAAGAAAAAAACTGATTAGTCGATAATAGTCGCATAGTAGAGCGCGTCGGAACAAATTGCTTCTCCGTCGCGGTGATTACGCTTAACTCGGGCGCTAATGATCGCCGATCGAGCGCGTTGAGCCGATAACGCGTAAATACCGCGTCGTTTGTCTCTGATTTTATGCGCGCCTACGCGCAAAACAGTCCGGTGTTTCATTCGCGCGGCGTGGCGGGCGACGCGTTCTGCGACGCACAGGTAAGGTCGCGAGGCGGAACACTTACGTCACACCGTGTACATTTCTTATTCATGCGCTTTACGGAGTATAAATATTATGTAGAACTGCGACCTATATCTCGGAGAGTCGATCTGTTTCCGGTACATATACTCAACATCGCTACAAAATTTGTCACCCGATACTTATCATAGTCCACTGGAAGTTTTGCAAAAAGAACAGAACGGTCCCTGAAGTGTAATTAACGACGAGCTAATGTAATCACGCGTAACTGGAAAACTATCGATCTTCTTGCCGGCGGATCTTCGGGACAAACGAGTGAGAATCTACACTGAGAGAAAAAATATCTAAAAACTAAACAAATATTTATTCGAGGTTATTGATCATGTATTTACCTAATACACTGAGGGAAACATTTCAAAAAGTTTTCCAAGTGAGCAAATATGCATATTTTCAGAACCGTATACGGGAAAAGAGATGCCGTTGAATCAATAGAATTTTCAACAGTACGCGCAATTGGAGTAAATCTTCTTGATTCAATAGTGATATGATTGAAACTAATACTTTAATTATTGAAACAATACATAACATAGCAGTTTTTATGATATTTGCCATTGAATAAGAAGGTTTACTCCAACTTTACGTTGCTGTTGGAAATTTTATTTGGAAACTTTATTGATCCAACGGCATCTTCTTCCATACAGTTTTTTTTTTATAGACATACAATTTTGCTCTTATTCTGTGTATATATTTAAATGAAAGAATATTTAGATTTAAGTAAATATTTTATTAGTACCCTCACATTATAATGAATAAATATTTTTTATTCTCTCTAGATATCCTTATTATTTTGTTTTTATACTAAATATTTTCAGTATACCGTCGGCATTTTTCACGACGATCCTCCACGGTGTATTTCTTTCACGTATCGCGCATAGAGGAATGAAACGCGCGCGTAACGAGCGCGAGGGGCACGCATCCTGTCATTAGTTCCATAACGTTCGCCTTATTCGGTGCATTCGGTTCAATGTCACCCGTCCCTCTCCTTCCTGCCGATTCTCTTGCAGCAGCCCCGATGTTAACATCCACCCAGCAGCGCGACCTCCCGTTCCTCCCGCCCGGCCCGATTCCGCGCTCTTCGTCGCCCATTAACGATCATAGCCGTCGTCCTTTCGTCTCGCGACACCTATCCGCGATCCACGATCGCGTCCATTCATGCGCGCGTCTCGGCCATTCAAGACCTCCGTTCTTCTAACTGGAAGATTGCGCATCTCAATATCTCTCTCCGACGTAGCTACAGAACTTTGTTGAAATCGTTAAGACAGACTCGAGAATCCCTCACGAGGACGACGACAAAGACGATTATCATACCTCGGCTGGACGTTTCGAGTCCTCGCGTAAACACTGGCCGATATTTTTTACAAAACCGACCGTTCAATTTCATTGACAAGGCGACGTGATTTATCGCGATGCCAACACCTAAAATCCCATCTGATCTTGCAGATACATCACGATGATGAAGTTCAGCGTGGTAACGATGGTGTGCTTGTTGGGGCTGGTCGCCGCCATGCCGTTGGCTGACCACGAAGGCCACGAGTCGTCCCCGCTGGTTCCTCTCGATGAGAAGGAGGCGGAGACTCTGAAGGCGGAAATAGCCGCAGCGCAAAGCAGCGCGCCCGCGGAAGCGGCGCCGGCACCACTGCAGGCGGCACCAGCTGAGCAGCCCGCCGCGGTCGACGCACCCACGCTGAGGAGCAGTGAGTCCTCCGAGGAGACCCAGTCGGCCGAGCCGAAGAAGGAAGAGTCGCAGCAACCGGCACAGCCGAAAGCGGTGGCCGAAGATGCTGCGCAGCCCAAGTCCTCCGAGGAGCCCCTCGAGGAGAAGGAGGAACCCAAGGTGTTGGCTGCCGAGCTCGAGAAAAAGGAGGAGGAGTCCCTGAAACAAGCGGCTTCCGAGGCCCAGGAATCGGTGCAGCCCGCGCCGCAGGAGCAGCCTGCCGAGGCTCCGACCGAGAAGAAAGTGGTGAGTTTTTTGTTTTTTGAATTTCCGCTTTCTTTTCTTCGACGAGAGCTTATGGCAGCATTAGGGATAATACCGTTCGAAGCTCCGAAACTTCGGTATAATTCGATACGATGAAGCTTCGAATATTCGAAATCAAATTCGAAACTTCAAACTTTACTCGAAGATTCGAAATATTGAAGCTGTTAATGGAACTAATTTTGGAGAGTGCAACAAAATGCTGTGCTATTAGAGAGTATCGGTTTAACTCAGATAACATTAAAACGTCGTAAAGATGTCTTTTAGATAATAAGACGTCTAAAGGACGGCTTTGAGACGTTTTTCCGACATAGATATTGTTTGAGTATTTTTAATTCAATTCTAAGATTTGTATTTGTCTAGTTTAAAGCGAAATGAACGAAGAGAGCGCAAATAATAAACAACAAATCTCACTAACTTTATTTTATTTAACTTAAAAACGGCCGTTTTCCAGGACGTTACCCAAGTGACTTACGAGGAAGTGCTCCAGGAGGAAGCTGCCGAGGGCAAGAGCGCGGAGCCAGCGGAGGCAATTGAGAAATCGGCGATCGCTATCGAGAAGACCGACGCCCCCGCGCCCGTCACCGAGATCGTCAAAGAGGACGCGAAGGAAGAAAAGAAGCTGGAGGAGCCGCAGCCGGCCCCGAAGAAAGAGGAAGCGGAGGTGCCGGCGGTCGCGGCCACCGTCGCCGAAGAGAAGCACGTCGAGCAGTCCGCCGAGCAACCGAAGGAGGCCGAGGGTCACTCCCCCGCTCACGCTAAGATCGAGGACAAGCCGGAGCGCGTGACCCGCGACGCCGAGGAAACCGCAGCGCCTGTTTCCGCGCCCGCGCCAGCCACCCCCGCCGCACAAGAAGCGAGCCAACCGCAGGAAAAGTCCGCGCCGGCCGAAGCTGAGCAGACTCCCGCGGAAGTGGCCAGCAGCCCGGCGGAGGAGCCGAAGCCGGCCGAGAAGAGCGAGAAGAACGAGAAGCTGGAGACCGCTGCAGCCGAGCAGCCGGCCGTCAAGGTCGAGGAGAAGGTCAAGGCCGAGGAGAAGATAGCCGCCGAGACGGTAGCCGAGCCCGAGAAGGTGGCGAAGAGCGCCGAGACGCCCATCCAAACGGCGGAGGAAGCCGCGGAGGAGCCTGCACAGCCAGCTCAGCAGGAGCCAGCTAGCCAGGTCAAGCGGAACACGACGGCGGCGAAGGCCGACACGAAGGCTGAGGAACCATTGGCCGGCCAGCAGCAGCCGGAGGCTGCCAAAGACATGAAGGAGCGCTCCAACTCCTCCGAGGAGAACAAGTCCGAAGACAGCAAGGAGTCCAGCGAAGAGGAGAAGTCCGCCGAAGAAAAGGACACCAAGGCGATCGAGCAGACCAAGGCGGAGTTGCTGCCGAAGCCCGAGCAGTAAATCTCCCCGGCGCCCAGGTGGATCGACATGAGTAACCTCAAGCGGCAGCAACAGCAGCAGCAGCAACAACACCACCAACATCGCGAAGAAGAGGACTGCTCCTCTTAAGATCGGGACGAGCTCAGGCATCGGCACTCCAGCTACCACCGGGAACACGTGCACGAGTTCGTCGCGAAACGACAGGAGCGAGAGAGAAAGAGAGGGAGAGGAAGAGCGCGTACGAGAGAGAGAGAGAGAGAGAGAGTGTGTGCGCGAGAGGAAAGAGAGAATGTGAGAATGTCGGGATGCCCGAGAGAACAGGAGAGCGCGCGGCGATGAAGAAAAAAAAGAACAAGTGTGAAAGTATCTCAAGTGTGAATGAGAGAAGCGCGAACGAGCGACCCCATCGACACGATCGATCTTTTTTTTCTCTTTGTGGTAGGGTTGTCCGATCACACACTTCATTAGGCGCACTACGATCTCCGGTAAGCGCAGATCCTCGGGGATCCCGGGGTGAGCGCGTGTTGCCGAACGCCGGAGGACCGAGCGTACGAAAGACGAGGACGATGTTTCGCAACCTTGAGACGCGCCCTCGAGACTCGTTCGCGACGTCCTCTGACGCGACGGGAACACGTGGTGGCCACCCCGGCGGGATGCAGCTCGACCCGCTCCGAGCGGCATTCCCGTTCGTCCCCGTGGACACCGCGATCTGTCCGCAGGGACGAACCCCGTCCCCCCGAGCATCGGTATCTCTCACCTATCCATCTATCCCTAACCCAGCTCCAATCCATCTACCTATCCTCCGGACCCCCCTACGTCTCATCTTAAACTGACGCACTACTACGCCCATCCCGATAAACTAGTAAGTAGCTCGACTCTGTCTTCTTTAGAGATACATGTGTCATTATTATTATTATTATTATTATTATTATTATTATTATTACGATTTAGTACCAGTACCACTATTATTATTAATATTATTATTTGTATTATTGCTATCTCATCATCGTTATAATAATAATTATTATTATTACTGTGAGACCCCGGTAGCGAATTTACTTCTCGTGCCGACCGCCTATCCATAAATCACGCGACCGGCGAAATCGAAGAAAAGGGATCGAATAATTCAAACTTCACACGTACAGTTTCGAAGTTTCGGAAAAAAAACCCCGTTTTTTTCCATTTCTTCGCGAATTTTTTTTGTTTCTTATCTTCTTTGTGGAAGAAAGTAAAGTGGTAGATTTTAACCAAGCACGTGTGAATTTTTCTGTTCTTGAGACAGAAACCGAATAAATTCGCGAAAAAATTTGGGAAAACGAGTTTCTTTCCGAAAATTTAAAACTATAGAGTATAGTCGATCACAAGAAAGTTTGCAACACTGTTTCTTGGCAAATTCCGGAACGCATTTCGTGCCCAATAGGAGAATTTATTTTCTTCACGTACGTACAATTTATGTTCGCTAATCATTTATTTATCTTGGCTAATTCCTCGTGTGTCGATCATTTTCGCTATAATTGCAAGATCATTTTTTGGCGTAATTCTCAGGAGATACGTTTTCTTACTGGACACGAGATGCGTTGCGAAACTCGTCAAAAAGAAAGTGCCGCAACCTTCTTGGGACTGACCATACGGCGATAATTACTATGCGTCCGCTCAGTATGTACACGAACGGACGCGAGCGGGAGTGTGCTTCGATTCGTTTAAATGTCAACCGCGCCTTACGGGCCGCGGATAATTCGCAGCGTTAATCGTTTCTCATGTCGAAGTCGAAACGTCCATGTTGCTCGGGTTGAAAGTTTCGAGTTTGCTGAAGCGCGATCCCGTCCGGTGAGCGTACGGAGAAAGAAGAGGTTCCACGAGAGAGCCAAATGTTAATTGCGAATCTAACCGTGCACGTAACGCGGACATTTCGCGAGGATGTCGTGTTTTACACGCGAGCGCTGATGAGGTCTCGCGAGTTCGTGCCTCGCAGCCTGCGTTACGTTGCATTGCGATGCGATAAGGCGCATTGCAGCGGCGGTCGCGTGATTTTTCAATCAGAACGCCGCACTTTTAGCGTTGCAGAAATGACGACGACTGGCTGTCGGGTGGCGCGGTAATAAGTTAACGAGTGAGTCACGAAGAGCAGCACTTATGTTCCCAACGGCAGTCCATGCCGTATGTATGTGTCCACCACTGTATCAGATATGATAATCGAGGGCTTCCGCCAGCTGATAAACATCTTCGCACTCACCTAACACGAAATAACAAGGCACAACGAGCGCGCGCACCGCCAGCGGACTAGATGGTAATCCTCCGGCACGACCCTTTAACCCTTTCATATCGCGCCCACGGATCGCTTACGCACGCAATAAGACCCGGCGAGATGTGTCTCACGAGTCTCGGCCTCCTCGGGGATCCCGACGGAGGTAACAACTTTGCGATTCTCGTCGGACGCCCTGAACGCGCGATCGTTTTCCCCGCGAGTGGACACGGTATAAAATTTTCTGTTGAATTTAACACACTTCACATGCCTCAAACGGTTTACGCAATTTTTGCGTTAATTTAACACAAAGTGAATATGTTGAAAAATAACACAAATGACACACGTCAGAAATTAACAGAAAATTAATCCTCAACATGTTAGCCGACACTAAAGTATGAAATGTGTTATTTTAACGATTACGCATATTGAATATCGACTCAACATAAAATATATTCGGATAACATGAACAATATATGCTAAATTAACACACGGGTGTGTTAAAAATTTAATACAAACATTTTAACAAGGACCGACTTTAATACAAGTACAAAATGTTTTTATCATAAAATCGAAAACGCGCCAAGTCGTTATCTCATTATCATGACGGGTTTATCGTGATTTTTTGCTTCGATATATAGGTGCAACCACCGATTGCGGCGGCAACGTAAAAATAGCAATATGAAAATAGCAGCAAACGTGGCGATGTAAAAACAGAGCGATATAAATAGAGCGCAGCGATATATAAATAGAGAGCGGAGATAAGAGAAGAGACAGAAATTTTGAGAAATCAAGTAAAATGTTCGTCAAATTCATAATCGCTTGGATTCTCACGGCGCAACGGCCGTATAAAGGGTACGGTAGACTTGAGGGAAGTCGGAGGATTATCCGTCAAGGGATCATTCATCAGAGGATAGCCTGGAGATTAATCCGCGCGATGTGCGCAGCCCTCCATTCTCGCATACAGCCCTCCGTTCCCGCAACGAATTAGTTATCCGCAGAGAATGCACTTGCACAAGACTCGTAGCGGTCGCGAATGCAACGCAATTGCTCGCGAATGTAACATCCGCGTGCGGTCCGCCGACATTTCTCTGGCTGACACGCCGCGATGCATCGATTCATCAAAGGGCGTGCGAGCAGCTCTATCGCGCGACGATGCGCCGAGTAAGAGTAAAAACAACGGCACGAGATTCATAAGGTGAGTGGACCCGGCAAAATGTCAAGGCGCGCAAGAGAGAAGGAGAGTGTGTCGCAACGCGCCGCAGCACACGGGATTGTCTCGCTTTATTGTACCGAGCCGCATTCTCGTCGCGTTAAAGTTTAACGTTAGATACGACCATCCCATTGCGACCATCCCTGAGCTTCTGGAAATTCTCGACACTGAATCCGGGGCGAGTTCTGGCCGTTAAACTTGGCTAAAATTGCTAGATTACAAATTTAAAATTCTTACATCGCAAGGCTGAAATTGTTAAATTACAAATCTGCCGAGCGAGGTAAAACCGAAAGTAGAACAGACGATCTGATTTCTCGAGTTCCTCTGCCTTGAGTTTTTCTCTTCTTCGAAGTCTGAATCCTCGATCTGCGGATATCGCGTAGTTTCAGCTGTTTAATCAATTCTAATCGTCCAGCTGATCATAGTCGACTTTAATCGATGTTTACGGAGACTGTTCTGCTAGGATAGAACGGCTAGATGATCGCAACAGTAGGTGCATTTGAAGGAAAGAGGTTCTCAGTGCCTCCGTGGCGCAATCGGCTAGCGCGTTCGGCTGTTAACCGAAAGGTTGGTGGTTCGAGCCCACCCGGGGGCGTTATTTTTTTGTTTACTCGTAAATTTTTCGTACTGATGCAATAATTATTGCATTTTTGTATACTAAAATTTTAAATAAAACAGCTCTCTATTTCCTGATATATTTGAATGCCACAAAAATTCGGTCATCAAGACTCGAATACATCGTTTCGAAGAATAAGAGTTTAAATATAATAAATGTGACAAAGAACGATTGTTGTTAAGTTAATTGATCATTATTATATCGTTTCTGTGCATGACAATGAAATAAGTAAAAAAAAAAAGATGAATTTGACCCCGACGTGATTTGAACACGCAACCTTCTGATCTGGAGTCAGACGCGCTACCGTTGCGCCACGGAGTCTTGTGATGTTGCTCGCTCCTAGTACATTGATACCGCCAGTCGTACACTTGAAAAGAAGTATCGACGACGAAATCGAGAATTGCACTAGAATATATAACTTACTATCTACCACATACTTGATTCGTGAGCAAGAAGCAGACTAAGACACCGAGCGACCACCAGTCGACTTCCTGTCCATAATACTCCTTCCTTAATATTTCTGGCGCTGAAAAATGAACATATCATAAGCTTAATATAAATGTTGCCAAATGATATAGGCGTGCATTTTATTTTGTTTTGCACTTCTACTTAATTCCTTCTTCAAGCTGAGTATAGTAATATATGTGCAATATAATTGCATTTTTATTAAATTAAAAATAAGCCATGTGTATTAAACGTGCTTACCCATGTACTCAGGCGTTCCGCAAAGTGTATTAGTCCTTTCTGTGTGTTGCAACCATTTGGCAAAGCCAAAATCAATAATTACAGCATGGCCATCCTTATCCAGTAGGATGTTTGTTGCCTTTATATCTCTATGTGTTATTCCAGCATTGTGTAGAAAATCTGAATATAATGCATGTATAACTTGATATGCCAGATTTTATATTACTGGTAAAAAATTATTGAAATTATTGAAATCCTTACCTATAGCTAAGGCAACCTCAGCTACATATATCCTAACTACATTTTCAGGTAAGCATCCATACTCCTCGACTAGTGAATATAATTCTCCACCAGGAATATAGTCGGTCACTGGAATAACGTTTACTCAAGTCACATGCTTAAAAAAACTGTTAATGCTATGATAATAAATACATACATATGTACAGTGTTTTTCTGCCTTGCCATCTGTGAGTAGAATTTACTATGAAAGGATGATGCCCAACCATTCTCTGGATCGCAACCTAAGCATTGAAATGTCAGATCTCTTATGTATTTTATCCAATCAACAGTATACTGATAAAAGTATTATTATTTTCAATCTGCCTGTTAAATATACCTCTTGTTTAGCTTGTATAACAGCATTTTCAGCAACAATCATTGCTTTGCTGATAACTTTCAGTGCAAAGACTTGACCGTTGTCCTGTTTCTGTACTTTATAAACCTTGCCATAGGCACCTCTAGCTATTACATTTAGGAAAATATATCCTGTCTTCAAAGGTATCTCCTTGATTGGGAATTCTGGCAGAAACATTGATTGGAAACGTGGTACTGGCCATACTGTTTTGGAAGATCCATGAGTATCCTGTACAGTGCCTGCGGTCCAGCTAAAAATAATAAACATATTTATAATCTCAAGATCTAATATTAAAAAGTTAATATTGAAGTATTTTGTAATATATTAAACATTGCTTGAGTTACCTTTTATGGGAAGCACGAGACCAGGATCTTCCTCCTTCGTTTGAGGTCTGTGTTGTTGTGACGCAACTTCCACCAAGTAAATCACTAAGGCTATACTGTAAATGTAAGATTCACAATAATATCTTTTCCATTTTTTATTGATATAGCTTTTTTATACAAGGTTTCTAATATACACTTGGTTGCAATAAAGTTATGCGACAGAGTCTTGTATAATGTTATAAATATTTCATTAGAGGTTAGGAATTTGGTTCAAATAAGAGATAAACACCTGACTAGCATATTTCTGATGACTATGATAGTTCCTTTTGGCGTTGGAATTTCCCATCCAAGTGACGGTGTTTCCGATTGATCATCGGTTTCTTCATACAACGGACGAGCGATAATTCGAAACCAGCGCTCCTTCACACGTCATTCTGCTGTCAGACCGTTTCAAGTTCAAACTCCAGGCATGCCGCCTACTAGTGCACGAATGCAAGTGCGCGTTAACATTCATTATTAGACATGCATAATCGCATATTACGACGCGCATAATTACTTTATTCACCACATTCAAAAATGGCCGTTACAGCCATCTTGGTAAACACGATCCAACACGTTAACAACAATCAATCGCGGAAAATAAAACCATCGTACTTGAGATTGACAGGTCAAAACGCTACACCACATTACGCTCTAACAATAATTTCACTAAATTTATTATATAACGAACGTTCTGCGTTAAAATGTTTCGCGAGAAATTGGATTTGCGGCGAATTCGAAAATGATCGTGCGACTCACGAAAATGAATGTATAATTCATGAGCAATTTTCCAAGTCAAGAACGCAAATTACTAAACCACGAGACGCTTTCGAAATCTATTTGTTACTAGTCTATTTTAATACCTTGTGCGAGCATATGAAGCATTTTCGATCCTATCAAAATGTTCGAATTGCACAGGAAGAGTCCGCGGACACGTCCTTACGCGGTGAGCGCCCAATTGGAAAGAACGATGGCGCAAAATTCAAACGACAATAGATATTGGGTCACGTGAGCGCAGTGTCGCCACCCGCGAGTGAACTAAAGTTGAACGATGAACAGTAACTTTCTAGCGACTTATCAGAATATTTATAATTTTATTGGTCAATATTTAGTGAATTTGCTACTTTTGTAACTCCCATTACGTTTTGAGATACACAATCGAGCTCCAGATCTGTATATATAAAACTCTCAAATTCATCTTCAGATGTTGCACGGATCATTTCATTGGCTACGAAGCATCTGAAGATGAACTCCAGATTTTAAAAGTAATACCCGATTATGAATGTTAACCTCTTAGTTCTCAACAAGACGTCTCGCATGCGAAGCTGCCCGAAGGAATCTCACCCTATGCTTTCCGCTGTTGAGATGAGCTAAGCGTACTCCCACAGCGATGTAGGGAAACAGAAGAGGAGGAAATATCGGTGAGACGTGCAGGAAGTGCAATTGAAAAAAGCACGTCTACCGGGACATCGCTCACGCCGTGGCATTAGTGCGCTCACGGCAATCCGTCCACGTGACATTAGCCCTGTGCGCGGTATATACGTGTGTCGAGTGTGCGAGAACGAGTGATTGATCCCGTTGTGTCAAAAATTATAGGTTTTAGGCGCGATTTTGTATGCCGTCCGCGAGCGCGGCCCCAATTCGAGGTACTTGTATGTCAGTCGGCGTCGAGCGCGCGTCACAGCTATGATCAAATTATTCTCGTTGAAACAAGCGAAAAAGGATGGAGAGTCACCCAAGGCTGGCACCCAGAAGAAGGCATCCGCGGCACAGCTGAGAATCACGAAAGGTTCGGCCCGCTTGCGACCTACCGCGAATTTCTCTGATCCGCCGTTTTTTCCTTGCAGACATAAACGAGCTCAACCTCCCGAAAACATGCGGCACCGAGTTCCCGGATCCCGACGATCTGCTAAGCTTTAAGCTAATCATCTGCCCAGATGAAGTGAGTAAGCTCGAACGTGTCTCGATGTAGATACAACACTCCGGCGACGGCACCTTTGTCAGCTGTCTATCGAGAATCTAAACAATATTTACTGTATTAATGAATGTTCCTGTCAACAATGGCACATATGTTTCAACAGGTCGGTTACTGTTTCAGGGATTTTACAGAGGCGGTAGATTCGTGTTTAGTTTCAAAGTTGGACCCAATTACCCACATGAGCCACCGAAAGTGAAGTGTGAGACTCAGGTTTATCATCCTAACATTGACTTGGATGGTAATGTGTGCCTGAATATTTTGAGAGAAGATTGGAAACCTGTACTCACAATCAATTCCATCGTCTATGGTCTCCAATATCTTTTCTTAGTATGTTTTTTGTATGCCATTAATATCTTCATAATACTTGGCATATTAAGGCTATATCTCTATCAGTATTCTGTGGTATAAAGGATTTCTAAACTCTATGTGCGAACTTTGCCCCGTTGGTGAGGATATCTTGGAATGAAACAGCATAATTTTATTTTTAGCATGTCAATACGTCACAACATGTTTGTAGTATCCAATATATCACTTGACTTTATCTGAATTGATGAACACACAAATGTGATTATAGGAACCAAATCCTGAGGATCCACTGAATAAGGATGCTGCTGAGGTTCTACAGAATAACAGAAGAGCGTTTGAACAAAACGTATCGAAAGCTATGCGGGGTGGTTATGTAGGATCGTATTATTTCGAACGGTGTCTCAAGTGATACAGTGCCTCGTCGTCGATACTGTATAAGCTTCTTCAAGGACTCACTGTAGGTGAAGAGATCCGAATGTACGGGATAAATGCAGGACCATGTTGCAGTGTCCTTGTTGTCACTTGCGTGACCACATTAACATATTTACTTTCTTTATGTCTTGCCAGGCCTATGTCTATTTAATCGAACAACTTCGATTAACAAATCTACTGGCAATATCATGCGCACCATTCACTCTTTCTGGTAATTACCAAAACGTTTACTGGCCGTGGTATCGTTTTAGCGAATTTGAAGTGCAGTTCTGAGGGGGCCGTAGGATTATAGTTTGACATATTTGGCAGATGATAGATGTTACGATGTAAGACACTTAATTGTGTTAACGTATATACCATATGTAATTCTGGACTGTCCTTGAATCTTGAAATCGGCTTTGCGTCTTTATAGATATCTTAATTTATAAAGTATTTATTTCCCCAGATATATACGTATGCGTAATACCCATTGTCATTGTAGCTTTTCACCGCAGCATCTATCAAAATTTTCCTCCTCATTTCAACATGTGTACAAGTAACTTAACTTATGTATTGACTGAGAGTGGAATATAAGGCTGTTATGGAACTATACAAAATGTTTTGTCTGATGATTTTTATAAACACACACAGCATACTTTACACCCGATCAAAACAGACCAAAAACTGAAGCGGGTCATTCTAATCTACGAATAATGTACATATAAGGAGGACGATCGGTGTTTTTACGAAACAAATTTGAATTTATTTCACTAAGAGAAGAGATTGGTTCGCTTTACTCTATGTACAAGTACAAACGTTACAGCAGTCGCTAACATTCGTGAGATTACAATACAGTCGTATGGGACGTTATATTCTACAAAATTTCGTTTACCATTGTATTTCGTAACTACTAGAAACGTTGAGAAGTATATTTTAAACGTCACGCTTGTACAGTTAGTGTAAAATAATTGAGCATGTCTCAATGTAGTTTAGAAAAATCGATATATGCAAGAATCACAGAAATACCTATAACAAAGTGCGTTGAAATGTGCTACCAATTCTTTGTTCTTCCAACTTTGCTTGATGTACGAATCAAAATTAGATGTCGTTGTCACATATATGTTCCTTGAGTGAATCTATATTTTAAGAGTTCACAATAATAAATGATCGCCAGTGGAATATAAAGACGAAGTAGAAATCAACTGCTTACGATTGTGAATTCCAAATCGCCAACGATCGCGCGTATATTTTGTCGTTTGCCGCGAACATGTTTAATTAGACAGCTGTGTAAATTCTAAATGCTAATCTACAAACATATTGTAAACTCCAGGAAAAAAATGAAGGTCTTGGATAAATAAATAAATGATAGATACAATAGAGACTACATTTAATTAGTGAAGTTTCTATAAACTTCGTCCGTGTATATTAAAGCACCAATATACTCGTATATGTATATCTTACCTCTTATCAGTTTATACAATATCAAGAGACTTAAGCACATATATATATATATATATATATATATATATACATATATATATATATATATTTTTTTTTTAAATCATAAGACTTACCGCGCAAGCGCTACGATATCATTTATAATTTATTTATCATTATATATAAAAACTACCGAATGTGTAGTAAACATCCATTACAAAGAAGTACGGCTCGTCATATTCTATAAAGAGCAAAGGAACAGCTTTCGTCTTTTCTCTATTAGTTATTGTTAATTTATTATACTCTAATACAGTACTTATAGAACTTATAACTATAGAGAAGTGTCCTGGCCTCACTCCGACCTACAGCTTACTCCGCTGTATTCTTTAATTTAGGTCCCGTCTGCGTTAAAACGTCTCAAGGCACTTTTTTTTTTAATACTTTGAAGTTTGACTCAATCAATTAACCTTTTTTTTTTCTCATTACGTGCACAAAGACTTTAACCGTGTCAAGTAATGGTTCGCGGATTTTTTTTCTCGGATCGCACAGTGCGGAGAGCAACGGCATCTTTGTCTTCGACGCGTTGTTTCTTTGTAAGATATAGCACGGTACTAAAAAAAAAAAAATCGTTTACGCTTTACATAGATCTCTGATAAACACTGCAAGAAATCGATAGATGTCACATTCCAAGTAAAAGACGATCGTAAAGCAGGGTACTATGCAGAATAAACTCGGCGAACGTACGATCAATATATACAGTCTGTTTATTCGAATGATATTAACGTGTGCGAATTTTCCAAATTCAACGAATGTAGAATAATTTTTTCATGTCGTGTGTGTGAGATACTGAAGATTTCTGTTCCAGGTATTAGCGTAGAAAAAATTTCCAATTTCCAATGCTTAACGTGTATGGCGGGTTTCTTGCAGTTTTATACTGGAAAACACACAGGTAAGAGACATCGTATTCAATAAGTGACAGAGAAATCTGGTGGTTGCGTGGAATCATGAGCGAATGTAATTTTTATCAATAGAAATGTCGACAGAATGTGAAGTAGTTCATATTATCCATTATAACACTTCGGAGATGCTTTTGGATACAAAATCTTTTTGGACTTAAATACGGACCAAAAGAANGGGGGGGGGGGGGGGGAAAGAGCAGTTGTATTCTAAAGCAACACGTAATTGACGCATGCATTATCCATTGCATTCTGATATAAAAAGCATTTGTGCAGTAATCATTTCACTAACCACAGCACAGAACACCTCTTCTTTGTACGCCTTTATCATTTTGGGCTCTGATATTTATAGTTCATTTATTTCTGCTCCAAGTTCTCGTCTTATGTAGTTCACGGCACCTCGTGAAAGACAGAGCCACGCTTAAATTTATCACGTATTTTTCGTTGAGGTTTCTTGTGAAAACATTAGGGAAGTTGTTCCGCAAGAGATCTACAATTACGAAGACACTTTGCTGTCGCAGCGGGCTATCTAACGTGTTCGATCGATGCAGCTCCATCTTTCAGGGCACGTCGGATAGTGTAACGGTGGAACTTATTTTCCAAAATAAAGTAAGCTGTGCTGGGATTTACGTAAAGTGATTGGTAGCTGCAAAATGTTTGGCCATATGATACAGTAGTATACGTTTAAACAAGGACTTGAAAAAAAACAGTGTTTATTTAAAAATCTATATTACTCTTATCTAACTATCCATTTGCTGATAGGCAACATAGTTGTATTTCGACAACTTATATCGTTTTCTTTACCGCTGGATCAACAACCCGCAGTAGAGTCCGTGTACAGCATGGCATATTCATTGATTATTAGTAATATCAAATAACATACTCAAAGTTTTCTCTTAATATATTTATACTAACAATTTAACATAAATTTTTTGTAACAGACACTGTTGTTACAAACTAATCGATTTTGTTTTGCTAAAATCCTTTTTTTTTGGACAAAACATGATTCGACATTATTGTTATCAAATGTACATTTTTATCTCGAGATTATGTATCTAGCAAGCCATGCAGAAATTTTCTTAACCGAGAATATTTTCGAAAATTAAATACAGCGTATTTAGAATTGTCAAGAAAACGTATTATAGCTTGCTAGACGACAAATTATCATGTCAATCGAATCAAAGCGGATCATATTTATAGAGTATAAAAGAGAATATACATTTTCACATGACAGCTAAAAAGCAGGCCTGCTGTCTCGACTAGTGAAACAACGGCATGCACAAGACTGATCTCATGGAGATGAAGTGTTAGCGCGTCCTCGTATTAAAGCAAGACTCTGCTGGATTGCCATAGTAATGTACAATAAGTTTACACAAAAATAGTAAACGGGAAATGCGTGACGTCTTCGGAGTGGTCATGTAATGATCGCGTGCTACAAACGTCCGATCCAAATTCCGTGTAATTTGTTTACTTACTTAATCTAAAATTGTAATGATTATAAGTCCTTATCGGCTTAAAGGCGTTCCGCCAAAATTAAACGAGGTGGGCACAGTCTGTGAGTGAAAAGCATAACCTGAAACAAGAGAAATATAAGATATTTCTGCGGGTAAAGATAAACACACACACATATATATATCTTCTCGTAAATATCTTCGTAACAGAAAATTCTCAGAGACGGTATTTACCTCCGCTCTGTTCGATCCTTTTGCTCTCCAAAGCTGCCTTGCGCTGATCCGCAAACAAGATGATTTCTTGCAGAGCTTTCTCTTGCTCAGGGGTGAGAAGACTAGTTAAAGCCCTGTACCAAGCGACATCAGTCTTCTCAATAGCTGGGTAAAAGAAAAAACAAAAAAAAAAAAAGAGAAAGAGAATTACGTGTAATACAGTACAGATTAAATCATCTTGAGCATTTCAAGAATGTAGTTCATTTAATATACCACTCCCGTCGATATTTACTTTGTATAACTTCCTTGAAAACAACGTATTCATCTTGATTGGTATCATCAGAATCTAAGGGTGTTACGTAGCTTTCCAGAGCGGTTTCTTCGTTACCGTCGAAGTCGTCGTCATCGTCATCGTCGTCAACGTCGGATCTGTGATCACCGTGACCATCTTGTATGGTCGCGGTAACGTTAAAACCGTGCTGAGCGGACGATCTCTTGATCTTATCTTGTAATTTCTCCAGATATTCCTGGTTTACATCGTCTATCTCATCCTCGTCAGATGACAGGACTTCTGAAAAATTGTCAGATCGATCTCTTCGTTACGTACTTAACGCTCACACGTGAGACGTACTCACCTTCGTCGATATCGCTCTCCTCGTCCTCGTTCTCCTCATCGTCTCCATCGGTAACTTTGGCGGCATACGCTCGTTTAAGACCGTCAAACAGGAGTATTAGAGACGGAATAATTTGCGTGGCGCATTCGTTAACAGCGATTGGTCTCGCCGGGCCCATGATGATTAACGTACACAGTCCGAGAACGCATAATTTTCTGTCGTGTAATCTGTAGAAAGAGAAATCGAATTATTCCTCTATATATTACGTAAATAACATTATTATGTAGTAATGTATATTATGTAACACATATATATTATGTAATATGTATATGTATATTATATAAATAATATTATATCCTCTTCTCCTCCTCTCTCTTGTTGAGCTCATTTGAAAATATCTTGTGCTATAAAAATGCATACCCAAGGAAACAATCAGTATCGTTTATCCATTGTTTGATAAAACGTGAAGCGAGCGGCTCCGTCGATTGAACAAAATTAACTTGCAACCTATCCATTGTTTCTAAACAAAGGGCAGGATTGTAATATAAAGCTGCTATTACGACTTGGAGACACATCGTCCTCAACTCCGACGTTTTAACTTCTCGCATTAAGCGTTCTAGGACTAATTGTACGAGAGATGGTATACACTAAAATTATAATATATTTTAAATAAGTCACAGTTATGTATATATGTCATATATTAATGTATGCAAGTCAGTTTATTCATATTGTTTCATAGATAAGCATATTCTAACTCGCGAGTATAACTTTTACGGATGTTATTCATCTCAACCTAGTGTTTTACCTGATCAATGTGTCCTTTGCATTGTAATATTATAACCTCTAATAATTTAGCAGCGTGGCATTCGGGATCTTCTCCGGAATCACCAGTCAAGACCTACGATGTGAAAATTCGTGTGACCTCACGGGAAGATGACAATGCAAAATTCCCAAGTAAATACTTACGGCTTTGCACATGTTAAACATAGCTAATATGTAATTTTCATTGGACAAAAATGCCGGAGTATCGACGGTGATGTAGTTATGCAGCGCGGGCATCATGTCAGTGAAATAGTCGAATCCATCTTTTTGGAAAAGTTGATACATGAGCTCTAGTATTTTCCACATATCCGCAGATATCTTCTTACTGGTTAGGTCATATACCAACGAAAGAGCTTCTTCGTAAAATTCTAAATAAAAAGCAATAATCAATCTTCTCTAATGTTACCGCTTTCATGTGCTCTAATGTTACCGCGTTCACTTTCATTGCTGATTGACTGGCCATTTTACGTCAACATAAAGGTTTCAACAAGAGGTTAACGAAGAAATTAAGGAGGTTCGAAAATGTTTGACCAAATATGAGATAAATACGAGATAAATGTAATATATATATAGTACAAAGATTAATCGAATTAATAATTGCGAGACAAACATTTCAATAATCTTTACCGTATTTGTAATATTCTGTGTGTTACCTCAGCTTCGTTTCAAATTAACACTTATTATTCGGTTAGTAAAAAAAATAAGAAATTTTGCATGATAAATAGCAAATTTATAAGAGATCCCCTTGATGCGCCACTGGAAATGCAGCACTTCCTAACGCTAGAACTTCCTTAATAAAGTTACCCAAGATTAACTATATAAAAATACATACCCATGACACTTTGTCCGAAGATGTGAGCTACTACTTGGAGGACAATCGGCTCCAGCTGCGCCATAATTTGAGGTTGGTCTTCCATCACAGTTAACAGTGTTTCTATCGTGTTCAAGAGACCCATAGCTGTTATCGCTTTCTCATCGCTACCTTCGTCCGTTTCCAATACTTGACTAAACGTAGCAGCCTGTAAGAAAACGCGTAATGTGATGCATCGCTTCGTTCGTATTAACTCCTTTCGTTCAATCAAATGTTCGATCACACTTATTACCAAGTGTTGACAGATTTCTACGGCAATAGGCATGAGTTGCTCCGTGTACGTGCAGACGAGCTTCTGCATAACGCTGGTCAGATCGTCGTTCTCAGTCTCCCGTATGATATTCAGTAATTCAAGTGTTATCTGCTTGATTAAAGGTTCGATATACTTCTGAGCTTTCGGCTGCGCCGAGAGCATCATCTGAAGTGCTATCGCCGCTTCAACTTTAACAGGTAAATCTTGATCGTTTAAAAGAGCGCTGGTAGTTAGTCTGATTGCTTCCACCAAGATCTGTTCCTGCTTGAACTTGATCTCGGAGAAGTAATGCAGCACCCAACATGCCTGAAAAGGTAATCGACGATTGTCGGTTGCGCCGGATACACGTTTGCATGACGTAATAACTGTTTTATATGTATCGGTTTAATTACTCTCGCTCGCATATGGCCGTGGGGACTGTTAAACTCGGGAAATACATATTGCAGCAACATCTTGTCCATCTGTTCTTTGTAAACTTTTTTCTTCAGCAAAACATCGGCCAAACTGCCAACCTGAATAAAATACGATTATACTCATCACATTTATACGTTGCAAAACATGCGGAATAGTCACAAGTGATCGATGTGTGATAAAAAAGGTTATGAAAAAAATGAGAAAAATAAAATAGAAACAATAAGAAAGGCATTATATGTGAGGTAATATTTACATATTAGATTTAATCTAATCAGGTAAATATAAGGTGTAGATAAATCAGTGTGGTTAACCTTTTGTTGGTCGCGAGTGTATCCAATAAATACGTTTAGACTATACTATATCGCCGTTGCAATACAGCAACTCAAGGTCAAACTCGTCCTTATGTCTATATCTTTTCTTTGTTCTTCATTATTTTTTATATATGTGTTATTATACTTAGTATATTTTAGTGCTTGGCCTATTAGTCACATGCCTATTAGTCAGATGCTAATGGGGAAGATTGTTTCAAGAAGCAGAGGAAAATAATGGGAAAATTAGTGTATCTGTGAGATACATTGCAACCATTTATGGGATGGAAAATATTGTGATTAATGGAAGGTTAAGGAAAAATTGTAAACCAAGTCCCCTCTTGGCATGTAAGCTGAATAAACATATATATATATATATATATATATATATACACACGTACAAATATAATCGATGTGTAACAAATGTTGCTTCTTCTAACGCGGAAACTCACCATGTGTAACGCACCGTCCTTCTGTCTCGGATCAGCGTTTGGACTGGTTAAAACTTCCAAACAGAATTGCATCGTCTTTTGCAGCATATCTTTCCGTTTCCTGCACGCCGAATGCAGCAAAGTCTGCGCCGCCGTCACCGGCGACACAAAGTCCTCGAAAATATCTGGAAAGGATGTGACTGTGACAAGGCGCACGATGTCTGCGAGATATCGAGATCAATGCGCTGTTAATTCAACCGTACCGAATTTCACTCGTATGTACTCGTAAGGGTCGGTGTTCCACAGCTCCTCATCGGCTGCGGAATACGAAAGGATCGGGAATATGACGTCGCGTATGATCTCGAACATATGCGGCTTCAAGAACTTCCAAGAATACGCGTGACTTACGCTACAATTTCAAGACCCGACGAGTTAGCTTTTCAGTGGAGAGTAATCGCGATTATTAGCCTCCCCCATGAATTCTCTTACCCCTGGTTGATGTAATTGATCGACTGCTGTACGACTCTAGGAGAAACATAAATTTTCCTACGGTACTGATCCAGAATTTTCAAAAGAACCTCTAGAATACCCGCGCTGAAGGTCTGCAAGTACCACTCGGAAAATTCCTTGTATTCTTTGGTCACGCTTCCCGGACTGCCGTACCTGCAATTTCAACGACTCAGTACTCGAACATCCCCTTCATTTCCCCTTAAGACTCGAGTTGAATCCGAGTTTTGAGTTTGAAGGTCACCTCTCAAACATCCTGTGTAAAATGTGTAACGCCCACTTCTTACACTTCCACCATGGAAGTTCCGCGCGTTCGTCCTCGTCCAAGTCTGGGTTGTTGGTTTCCGGAGGCACTGGCCTGTCGGCCACTTGCCTCACCACGTCCATCCATTTCGTGAACACCTCCCTCGAGATAAGGTCGAGCGGAAGAGTGTACTGCAGCAGAGATACATAATAGGAAAACATTCTAATCTTATCTCTCCATTAGACTTCAACTGATCCTAGCATTACCATACCTGTGTGAGAGCGAAGAAAATTTTTAATATCTGTTTCTGAAGTAACACAGAACGCTGGGACGAGTCTGGTAGTAAGGTTAATATCAATTGATAGATCATAGGGAATAATAAGTGCATCGCTTCGTTCAATGGTCCCCTCTCTTCTGCTTTCTTGTACCTGGAGGGGCAGAATAGAAGTATTGCAAATCGCTTCCCACGTGACGTCGAGTGTCGAGAGGAGCGCGTACGATCGAGTGTTACTCACTCAAAATTTTTCACAAGCTGATGCAGTGCAAGAAGGACTCCAGGCAAGGTCGCCATGTCGCTGTTTTGAAGGTATATCGTTATTTTGTCCACTATTGTCGTCCATCTCCCGGGGAAGTCATGCTTGACCATATTACTGATGCATACCGCTAATTGTACTCTAAACATGTAACACAGACATTGGCACATCGCAACAATGATATAATCATGTCGTATTCCGCCAGAGAGATAACAAGTCGGAACGCAACTTGCCTAATTAGTTCTGGTGCATGTACCACAGCGTCCACTATTGCTTCGCGTATCATTGCACGATCCTGTTCATGAATACTAAATTCTACGGGCCCGTTGTCTGCGTCTCGGTCGGCCCAATTTGAAGTGATTAGATTTTTTAGATAAATAACACCTGCGGGAAACAAAGGCAGAGATATTTCTCCTGTAACTTCAACTTAGCAACCAAGCTCGTCGTAGGTGCTAGAAAACTGCAGATAGATATATTTACCAGCTTGTCGTACCGGCATGTCGACATTGTTTGACATTACTGTCTGCAGGAGAGTTGGAGCGAATCCAATGATTTTGTGAATCTGAAAGCACGCATAGCGTCGCGCCGCCTTGTGTTAGGAATTATCGCATTTATTACGTTATCATTATCGCTCCCCCCTGGTGTTACAACACTCCACCACGGGATCGTGACAAATTAGAAAGCACACAATGTGAACAGAGCAGATAATACGGGGTGTACACGTATACATGTACATGCGTGTGTATACATGTGTGTTCTGTGTGTGTGTGTGCATACACACACATATATATATATACAGATACATATATATATATTATATATATGTGTGTGTGTATATATACGCACGAAATATATAAAAATAACACGATAGTGATATATGAGTGGAAAGATCGCAGGCCACGTCGGAATATTAATTCCGCTCAATAATACGGTACATCGGCATGCGACGCCGCGAACACGTTCCACATGCTAGAGCGCACGTATGGTCGGCGCGATCGTGTGGCATCGCCCGGAGGTGACGCGGCCGGGTCGTCTTCTCGGCAGCATTCCCCGCGTGCGAGCATCGCGCACGAGGGGCGCGCGCGAGAGCGAGAGAGAAAGAGAGAGAGAGAGAGAGAGGTTAACGAGCGGAAGTGCCGTGGAGCCGTAACGTCATCCCGCGAATCGTCGTCGTGCCTGCGCGGACGTCCCCCCGTCCGTGGTATCCTCGAGCTTTGTCTCGTCGACGAGGGAGCACACGAGTCGCATGGCGTGACCGGAGTGTCAAAGCGGCCGTGTGCTCGGGAACGAGGCCTTCTCGAGGAGGACAACGTGCGCCCGGAGGATCCCCATCGGCGAGAAGCGTTTTCCTCGCGACGGGATCGACCGTGTCCGGCACAAAGTGCGGCCACATGTTCCCCGAGACCTCGGGACCGTCCTTCCCCCGCCCTCGGGACGAGCACATTTCCTCTCGGTTGGTCGGTCGCAAGCATGCACGCACGCACGCACGCGGTTTTCGCTGGCATACCTGGTTGAGCTGCTCCTCCGCCTGCTTCTGCTGCGCGGGGTCAATCGTCGCCCGCAACAGCTCCGTGAGTTTCTGCGGATCCATCTCTGCGAGTCAGCTCGGTGTGCGGCGTGTTAATTGGTACGCGTGAATTTTTCAACTGATTCACCTCGCGGCGGACTTGACCCGGCGCATTCACCCTGCCTGCCTGCCTGCTTGCCTGTCTGCCCGCTGCTGCTGCTGGTGCTGCTGCTGGTGCCCGTGACGGTCACGTGACACAACATCATGGCGTCTCACGGGCAAGGCTCCAGATATGTTACATCCGGTCGGTGAACGTGTGATGGCGCTCTTCTCGGCGAAAATGTATCTCGCTAGAGAGAGAAGAAATCCTTTTCGTCTTTCTTTCTCGCGTAAATAGGAAGAAATGCCGAAAAGACCGGCGGAAAAACTGACACGAGATTAATAATTATGGTAATAGTAATAAAGAAATAACTTTATTACGCGCAACAAAAGTGTGAAGTACCGTTGAGGTGGAGTAATGGAAATGAAGTATGCACGCAAAGGGCGAGGCTATACTATAGACTTCTACGCTGCCTAAACTCGTAAGATAAAAAACATATAATCAATATACACAAGGTTAATTAGCCTCCATATTCGCAACGCCAAACGAAATATATCGTCAACAAGTTAAAACCGTGCGACACTTGTGAACTCGTTCGAACCGGCTTGAAAAGCCAGCCCCGTTTGGAGGCTTGCATTTTTTTTATTGTACATGGGTTGCTTCTTAGTAAGAGACGCAAGTCTAATTATATCAGTCTCTCGCTTTCCAGCGTGAGACATAAGTTGACACAGGTCTGGTTATATCATCATTTGTCCTTTGCATTTGATAGAGAACAGGATAATAGACGATATAACTAGACTTGTCTCTTGATGAAAAGCAACCATCTCTCGTCCTTTTCTTTACCAACCGCGAAATAGAGACAAATGATGATATAACTAGACTTACGTCATTTGTTGGAACAAAGCAGCAATAACAAGAAATTACGATATCATTCAATATCGGACGAAAAAAGGTTTGATTTCTTTCGGTGGCAGACAAGCGGAAATCCGTTGGATCCGGCCGTTCAGACCGGAAAATCAAAATCCGTCCGCTCCGTCGCTCGGTCGTACCACTTGAAAAGAAGCGGCTCGACTGGCCCGCCATCGAGTTGCGCTACGTTTCGATTGGCCCCGCGGAGAACGGCGCCGGGGACGCATAGAAATCGGCCCAGGTCGTGCTGCCGCACAGCAATGCACCGACAAACTAAATAATCGACGTCAAAAGCTGTCAAATATGGCGAAGGCAGCGAACGAGCGGTAATTGACATGTAAAAATGTGAATAGGCCTGCCGCGCGACCGCAACGTCGATTTGCGCCTCGAGGAGAGGGAGCGAACGCACCTGCGACGGCTGACACGGGTGTCACGCGTGCGAATCAACGGGACAGGACCGACGACAGTGACGACGACGACGAGGGCGACGACGACGACGATGATGGTAATGATGATGTCGGGCTCGCCGGTGCCCGATCGCCGGAAGTGAGAAGTGCGCAAGGGTGGGTTGCGGACGGGTCACGCAACTCGCGGTCGGGCCGGAGTCGGAGCACACGAGGGTATGGTATAATCGCCGGACAGCCATGGGTGCACAGCAGACCAAGGACAGGGTGATCCCCGCCGGGTCGACCGTGCGGCAGACGCGCAAGCAGCCCAGGAACCTCAAGGAATCGCGCATCGTAGGCTCTAACATATTCACCGAGCACAGTGGTGAGAACAGACACATTATCAGTTATCACTGTCTTCCTTTGCTCCTAGTTTCCACCGTGGTGTCCTTAAGTCTTCCAGTCATGCAGGACTCTGCTTGCGGTGATAGCAGAGATCCTGTGCTTCCTTTTGGATACATTACACTATATTCTGGTAAAACTTTGAACTTGGGAGCAGAGCAAGTTTAAAATGACTATGATTTTTCTGATTTAATATAATAAGATGTTAGATTGTTTAAAATGATATGTTATCTTAACGATAAGAAAGTAGGGGATTTAAGTAGGATTTAATTTTAATTATCTTGGGTTTTTGATGTGCAGTAGTGAATGTAAAATGATATATATATTGAAGCTGCTATTTCTTACATTAGTACAGATATTAGTGGTTATTAGGATTATGTAATATATATATATGGGTTTTTAAGTAATATATTTTTCTGCCATGAGAAAACTGTTTCTTGTATATCATACTTAAAGGAAATATCTCTTATATTCTTAGTCTGTTGAACATTCATAATTTCTTGCATAGAATGTTAGGTTAATTGCTATTGTTATATATGAGATAATTTACACACAACTATATAAGATTCTTATATATTATGCTTGACCTTTTAGTCCAGTACAAATTCATAATTCTTTTATAGAATATTAGTTTAATTACTATTGTACATGAAGTGATTTGGATACAACTATAAGATTCTCATAATATATTTTGCGTGTTTATACAAGCTGAGAATTGTTCCTTGACTGAGTACAAATGTCAGTATCAAAGGTTTTCATTTTCAATATATATACAACATATATTGAGAACTATAAAGAGAATTGCTTTGCAATTGTTTGCAGAGGCTCTCTTGCAAAGTAGGCCACTACCTCACATTCCAGCATTGCCAGAAGGTGATCCTCCAAGTGGCTCTAGTGTTCAATCAATTTCACAGCAAACTAATGTTCAACAACATACTAGTGTGTCTGCTACTGGACTTCTTGAAGCAGCAAATAGGTGAGTTCAGTCATGCTTACATAATTTCCATTTTATATACTCTAGTAACTTCTATAAAGATTTTATATAAATGTAGCTCTTAAAATGTAGCTTTGGAAATAACATGAAATACTATACGCAGAAGACTCTTAGGTCATCTTTTTTATGAGTTTATGATTCATATTCATAATTTGTGAATATTCTGAATATGTCATTGTGACAAAAAAGATAGCAGATATTTTAATACAGCGATCAATTAATATGAATCATAAATTTTTCTCTTTGGCTCTAAACTTTGGTTCTAGAAATAATATTTTGGATTATTTTTACACAGATGGACCAGCAAAGAAAATCTGTTGGCGCAGGAGGAAGATGATCCTCAATTATTCGTCGCCTTGTACGATTTTCAAGCTGGTGGGGAAAATCAACTGAGTCTGAAGAAAGGTATGAATCTATTTTCTATTAATGTCACGAATGTAATATATATGCTAATGTATGCCGTTCCTTAATGTCTCTTTATAGGTGAACAAGTGCGTATCCTAAGTTACAACAAAAGCGGCGAATGGTGCGAGGCGCACTCGAGCACTGGTCAGGTGGGATGGGTACCGTCGAATTACGTGACTCCCGTTAATTCCCTGGAGAAGCACTCTTGGTATCACGGAAGAATATCCAGGAACGCTGCCGAGTATCTCCTGAGTTCGGGGATAAACGGTAGCTTCCTCGTACGGGAGTCGGAAAGCAGTCCCGGCCAGCGCAGCATCTCGCTGAGATACGAGGGCCGCGTGTACCACTACAGGATCAACGAGGACAGCGAGGGCAAGATGTTTGTGACGACGGAAAGCAAATTCAACACGCTGGCGGAACTGGTGCATCATCATTCAATGCTTGCCGACGGCCTCATTACGCAACTGCTGTACCCCGCACCGAAGCACAATAAGCCTACCGTCTTCCCGTTGAGTCCGGAGCCGGACGAATGGGAGATCAATCGAACGGACATAGTGATGAGGCATAAACTAGGGGGCGGCCAATACGGCGACGTGTACGAAGCGGTCTGGAAGCGATACAACATGACCGTGGCTGTTAAAACACTCAAGGAGGATACGATGGCGCTGAAGGATTTCTTGGAGGAAGCTGCCATAATGAAAGAGATGAAGCATAGGAACCTGGTGCAATTGCTGGGCGTCTGCACGCGTGAGCCGCCTTTCTACATCATCACGGAGTTTATGAGCAAGGGAAACCTGCTGGACTACCTGCGAAACGAGAGTAAACACCAGATCAATGCCGTGGTGTTGATGCACATGGCCACACAAATCGCGAGCGGCATGAATTACTTAGAGAGTAGGAACTTTATTCACCGCGACCTGGCCGCCAGGAATTGCCTGGTCGGCGAGAATCACCTCGTCAAGGTCGCGGATTTCGGTCTAGCTCGTCTCATGAGGGACGACACGTACACGGCTCACGCCGGTGCGAAATTCCCCATCAAGTGGACCGCGCCGGAGGGTTTGGCGTACAACAAGTTCTCCACAAAGGTACGACGATACCGTTGATAAGCATTGTTTACCGTTGCACTGAATTATATCGAGTTGTACTACTGAATTGCTGGTCTTTGTAGTCTGATGTTTGGGCATTCGGTATTCTACTGTGGGAGATCGCCACTTACGGCATGTCCCCGTATCCCGGTGTCGACCTAACCGACGTATATCACATGCTGGAGAAAGGCTATCGGATGGATTGCCCTCCTGGTTGCCCGCCTAAGGTCTACGAACTGATGCGCCAATGCTGGCAGTGGTCAGCGGCAGATCGGCCAACGTTCAAGGAAATACACCACTCGTTAGAAAATATGTTTCAAGAATCGAGCATCACTGAAGGTGAGTTGAACCTCCGATCTGGAGAACTATTTATATTACGAAATGAATCACGATTTCATGGTTCCTGGCACGTCTATTGCAGAAGTAGAAAAGCAGCTTCAGGGTGGAGGAGATATTCCATTACTTTCGCATAAGAAATCGCAGACCGGGAGCACAGGGAATATACACGGTCTTGTCCTTGTATCCGAACAGTTATCTTCTTCGGGCATAACGCAAGGTAGGTATTTTATGTCACGATTATTTAACAATATTTCGTGTCGACAAATCAAATGATAATTTTGTAATATAAAAACCTGGTTTCACACACACACACATACACACACACACACATTTTATAATTATTATAATTTTTTTAATTTATAAATAAATAATTATAAGTAAACTTATCATAAACAAGTGAATTTATTATAATTATAATTTATAATTGTTATAGTATATTTTTCTTCAACGAGTGGAATATATTTCAGAAGGAGCCAGTTCGGTCACCAAGCTGAGCACGTTCATGGGTGGCTTATCAAGTAGGAGTAACAGCAACATGGTCCAAATGCGAAGATCCACTAATAAGAAGGGAAAGCAAGCGCCGGCGCCTCCTAAGCGAACGAGGTACGTTATCTTTTCGGCCGAATCATGAGCAATAATTCGAGAGTACGTAACAAAAGATCTATATGTCTTCTGTGTGGCAGCTTGCTGTCGTCATGCAGTTCATTCCGAGACTCCGCCTACCAAGAGCAAGACCAGCAAAATGTCGAAGTGAGCACTATGACGCTTGACGATGGCACAGATCTAAATGGTATTGATAAGATTTTTGAAGGTATTCCACTATATCAAAACTAAGTGTAATGAGACGAATGCACGAATGCCGCTTTCGTTAATTTCTTTCGTTGTCCTTTGCGTTGACTTCACTTTTGTTTGGATATGCATCGCCTACTACAGTGATCTTTACGGCTTCATGAATGTGGGTCATTCTCCTCGAGTCAGTAATGTATAACGTGAATGTTGAATACACGTCGGACACGTTGATGATATTTTTCTAATATATATATGTATACACATAGTATACTTGGATATATATTTTATTAATGCATACTCGAGCGTCTGCATCTCGTACATACTGTACATCGTAGCTGCAGTCTTTCATTACCACTTACTTACACACGAGTAAGGGACGGTATACTTCGCATATGTTATCTATCATAATTGCGTCAGGAACCCCCCCGGAGAGAGAAAGAGAGAGAGAGAGAGAGAGAGAGGTTCCGTATACGTGCTCTTGCATGATGTTCGTTTCTGCAAAGGTACGAGTAGAACTTGCGTGTTCATTTACGTATTAGATTTCTGGATATGTATCTTATCGTTTTCCACTTTTTTCTCCTTTTTTTTTTTTCGTCCAAGTATCCCGAAGATCGGGACGTAGCCTGTATCGCCGGCATTAGTTACGTTTCCATCGATTCTGTCGCCATGCAAAACTCGACTGTGTTCAAGCAGTGTTACGTGAGTTTACTGAAGCTTCACTTCCATATATATCGCAACACATGTCATTCAGAGGGAAACCAACACACGTCATATACATATATACCCTGCACGTTTTTTCCCCCCGAAATACCGTCTTGTCATTTTCACCGGATCGTTCATTGTCGGCGCATCCACGACACACTCGTGACACTTTCTTCCCGACAACGGAGAGTCACGGTGAAACATACCAAAAATCTCCGCGGCCTTTTCGTGTCTTTTAAAGGAGAATGACCCTGGGATGAATGGAGTGAGATGTGAGGAGGAGAAGGCAGAGAGAGATTTAAGATTGATAGATGCCGCAAAACAAACCCTTTTTTTAGCTTTCCTCCCAAAATTTCGATCTTTAACACGTTGCGCTTACATGCTGGAGAGATATGTTAGCTAATAGATTGTATACAGTACACCTTATTAAATGGCGACCTCAGGTATCACACGTGATCTCGTGACAATGGCTACACAGTCAATTACTACAGGAGGTTGCGATTTGGACGACGACGGAGATGGGTCGCAAGGGACAGCCGAACATAACTTTATTCCTCCACCGTCGACCTCGCCGGAACCTGTATCCAACTTACCGTGCAATCAGAAACAAATAAAATCTCGACCTTACACGTCTAAGGAGGTACTGCCTCAGAAGGTACAATGATCTTACTCGTTCAGCGGCCACGTTTTTTCCGCGAGAGATCTATACTTTGAGAATATATACACATGAACATACCTTTTACCCGCGCACCGTGTGCGTTACGTTTGGGTTAATGTTTCTTCGTGTCTCGAGAGAGTCCACCTCAGAGAACTAAAGTCCGTTTCGATGGTAAATGCATTTAGCACTGCTTGAATATAACTCGCTTGAATAAACGCGCGTGGGTCGTCGCGACAGCGCACAATGGGCTGGGAGATCGGAAAAAGTGGTCATAATTCGAAGTTTAGATTGTTACCAAAAGCTATATCCAGTAATTCAGGATGTCTATTACCTGGACAAATATGAAAAACCCAGAAGGGAGTTTGTTTATATCTGGAGAAATCGGGGAATTTTAAATGGACATTTTTGTCTGCAAATTGCGTCGTTTATAGATTTTGCGACTAATTCATTCAATAATTTTACTAATCCGATATTCAGTATTGAAGACAATGACTTCGTGTAGAAGCAATTTTGTTTAATTAAGACGTATTTATACTTTAATAGATATGCTTCAATAGATATGCTGGAAAATCAGAGAATTCTAAAGGGACTGTTTTTTCGGGTTTCAGTAGACATCCTGTAATTTTTCGGATCCGATGATCGCGAATCCAATGTCAGATATATAAAATTAAAAATAGCAGATTCAATATGGCAGACGAAGATGTAAAAAAATAGTTGTATTGTTTTAATATTGCTTTGTACTTATTTAAAATGAACATTATTATAATTTATAAGTTTTTTTGCGAAATGTATGAAAACGGGCATGATTTTTTTAAAATACTTGCAAACATCCAATGATGCCTTACTTTCAGTGGTAATCTGCTATTATCGCCGATTATTGGGTTTCGGCCGAGCTTTCAAAGCTATCTTTAAAACTACAGTATATTCTAAGATAATATCGATAACGATTGTCGGTTTATCGTCAAAGTGGTTATCATCAAATCAATTGTTTCTAATGTGAATTTTTTAAGTAGTTTATGTCTTAAAGTAACAAAAAAAATCAGATATTTCATTCTCGGATATATAACATAATTATAACAATTTTCCTTTCAAACAAGAGTAATTATGCAAAAACTATATTTTAAGAATTCAAATAATTGCTACACGGACGATAATTACACAACTATGACGAAACTTTGGAAAAGCCGCATAAGAAGAGCCGCGTATTACAAGAGAATACTCTTCCGTGCTATTTTTCGGACTGAATTTTGGCCGCTTTTTTAGACTTGCCATCCTATAGTGCGGCGGTGGGCTCGAATTCGCGGTATCGCTCATGGCAACCTTGTGTTCCAGCTGGTACATGTGGGTGCACTGGAGGTGCAAAATGTTAAGCGGGCGATCAACCGTTACGGCACGCTGCCGAAGGGCGCCAGGATCGGGGCGTACTTGGAGTCGCTGCGGCAGAGCGGTATGCCGTCGAACCAGGAGAACGTCCCGGTCGCGGCCAGCTTGTCCACCGCCCTGGAGCAGCAGCAGGAGAACGCGGCTGGCGTCGTCGACACCGCGCCGCAGCATCGCTCGCTGTCGCCCCGTCAGAACAACCTGCGTAGCCAGCCGCAGATGACGCGCAGCAACTCCTCGAGCGGCGTGGTGAACACCTACCAGCCGCCGAACTCGCCTCGCAGCCGGGCCGTGGCCGCTCGCAAGAACAACGTCGACGGCATCGGCCTGCGAACGTTCCGCGCGCCCAACAACTCCAGCTTCCGCACCGCCAGCCCGTCCAGATCGATCCAGCCGACCTTGGCCGACCTGGAGTTCCCGCCGCCGCCGGTGGACCTGCCGCCGCCCCCGGACGAAGCCTTCGGCGACCAATGCGACCTGCCGCTGCCGGCGACCGCGTCGCCGTGCACCGAGACCTCGCACAAGACCACGGCCAGCTCGCCGATCGGCATCAGGAAGCTGAAGACGGAGTGGAGAAGTAAGGACGAGGTGAGTGACGATCAGGAGGAGCGGAACAGCGACGTGAGGAACTCGGAGCCGTCGGTGAAGGAGGCGAGCTCGCGCTTCGGCGTGAACCTGCGGCGCCGGGACACCTCCGGCGACGCGCACGCCGCCAAGTCGGACGAGAAGAAGATGGTGTACAAGCCCAAGGAGACGAGCTCCGTGATCGCGAAGGTAGAGCCGGCGGACGCGCACCCCGTCTCCGCGCCCGAGGAAGCGCCGCCGCCACCTCCGCCGCCGCCGCCGCCCGTCGGCAACACCGCCGACACTTTCGAGTTGAAGCCCGGCATGAAGGAGATGCTGGAGCTCAAGCTGATCAACGAGATCAAGCAGAGCGCGGACATGAAGCACGGCGCCGGTGGCGCGAAGAAGACCGGCGCGGCCAACAGCGCGCCCTCGTCCGCGGCGCCGCTCGACCCGGCGTCGCAGTTGCTGTCCGAGCTGTGCGCCAGCTTCAGCATGGACTCGGCGAACAGGCAGCAGCAGCAGCACGTCGCGAGCGAGTACGCGATCACGACGTTGAAAGGTACCGGCGACGTGCTCATGTCCGCCGGTGGCAGCGTGCTCCAAGAGCACCACGTGACCACGCAGACCACGCTCGAGAGGAGCGCCGCTCACAAGGAGATGGTTCCGCTGACCTCGCCCATCACCGAGGGCATCCTGAGCGCCACGAACGTGGGCTTCAAACTGAAGAAGGTCGACAAGCGGAGCAACGTGCCGAAAGAGGAGAACCCAGAGGGCCAGCAGATCATCGACTTCAAGGCGCGGTTGCGGAAGGTGGACAACGCCGACAAGGAGCGCGACGAGAAGAGCGGCAGGCGGTTCGACGACACGGCGAGCATCGTCGCGGACTCGACCGAGTCGTCCGGTGTGGACGACCCGAACGACGATAAACGCCGCAGCACCGGCAGCATCAGCAGCCTGAAGAAACTCTGGGAGAACAAAGAGGCTTCTTGTGATAACCAACCGCTCAGCCCGAAGCTGAACGTGCGCGGCCCCGGCAAGCAGGACGTCGGCGACGCCAGCGAGGACTCGCCGGAGGATCACAGCGGCGCGTCCACCAGGAGCTCCACCAGCAAAGACGACCCGCGGATCTGGCCGCCGCCGACGTCCTCCTCCTCGGTCGGCCCGTCGGAGGTGGAGAAGCCGATCGTGCCGGCGAAGCCGCTCAAGCCTCTCGGGACCTCCAGCAAGCACTTCGGTTCCTCCATTTACGCGACGCCCAACTGCAACAAGCCGCCGTCGCAGTCGCAGGGTGACGACGACAGCAAGCAGGCGGCCGGCGGTGAGAAGGGGGCGAAGCACAGCGTGATCGAGATCTCGAACGTCATCGAGAATAGCATCCTGAACTTGAAGGGCAGCCCCACCATCGTCATAGCCAGCTGGCTGCAGCTGTCCGACAAGGTGGGCCTGCTGCACGGTATGTGCGTCAACCTCACGGACACGGCGATCGCGCCCCACGCTAGGTTCCAATTCCGCGACCTGCTCACCAGGCTGGAGCTGCAGGCGCGGCAGCTGCGCGCAGCCGGCACGCGCAACATCACCGAGAACACGAGACTGTTGAGTGACGTGCAGAACACGATAAAGGACGTGATAAACACGGTGCAGAGATAAAGCCGCGAGCCGGCGGGTCGGGAAAATCAAAACCTCACAGAGAGCGTCCCCTCCTCCACCCTGCGACACTTCTCCCCTTGTCTGCTCCCTCTCCCCCCCCTCCCCCGCCCAAAGTGTCTCCCCGCTGTGGACCGCGACAACTTATCGAAACTCTCTGTCTCTCACTCTCATTTTCCACTTCCACCTTCTCACTGTCTCTCCTCGGATCCGTGGGCGTATAGTATATATAAATCTACAATTATAAATATCTATATCTAAGTCACTATATGATAAGGTCTGTCGAAGAGAGTGGTGTCCTTTTTGGGAGCCTAGCGACTAATCTTCGAACGAATATAACAGGAGTAAATTAGTGTGAATAAGACCTTGATCGACGAATACGACTTCGCGACTGCATGATCTTTAGGGTGGATTAATCCAAAGTTGCATGAACCGAACGATCGCCGGTATGCTGCCCGACATGCAGAGGCATACGGGCACACATACACACGCGCACACACACGCATACACACACGTACACTTTTAGAGCACACGTCATAATACTCGCAATAACGGTACACACAGCTCGAACGGGATCCTGTGCTGCAACTCTAAGTTCGTATACATTTACACGTTCGCCTGTTTACAGCATTTGCGTTTTTTCGAAAGAGAGAGATATCCCGAGAGATCGCGCGTAATTCACGGGCCTGGCAGAAACTCTCGGCCTTAACCGACATAAAAAGTATACATCTTTGCATGATTGAACATTTCTATGTCGAGACATAAGACGGTTTTCATATACGATGTAGTAAATGTGTGTGAAATGATTGTAGCCACTGTGTGAAAATTAATCGGTCACGCAAATTCTCCCGCGGCAGCGCGGAAAATCGGTGTACTCGGCATGAGAGATACGTGAGAGTGGTCGCGCATACGCGCGCGGAGACTGTCGACACGCTAAATACTAATTATCTCGAGTCGCTTAAATGTACCGCGTAAAAGAATCGTTTCGTTTTACATGTAATTTTATACACACGTCGTGCTTAGTATATACATTATATATTATATATACGCGCGAGATTTTTAGACTAGACTATATATATATATATATATATTATATATATATTAAATACGGACACGACTAAGGAAATAAAAAAAAAGCGTAAAGAAGTCGTTTCATGTGTACTGTGGGACAATATAACGATTTTGTATTTGTATAGAGTAAGTTGGATAACAGCTATTACACTAATCGTACGCCTACGTAAATTGTACCCGAACAAACAACAAACAAACAAACAAGTAAACCAAGCAAGTAAGCAAGTAAGCAAACAAAAAAAAAGAAACGAGCCAACCGAATGTAATTGATTAAACTCTTAAGTGTCGTGTGTGCTTCGTTCTTATCCATGACGGTATGAAAATGTTCTTCCAAGAGCACAAGAGTTAAGCAGAAATATTCGCCTGAAGACATCCATGAGAGGGGAACAGAGCAATTGCGTTAACGTTAACTCACGAGAAGTGCATCTTAATCGATAGTCGCGTATAACGGGCGGGGAAAGGGGGACGAAGCGAGGGAGTTGGAACAAGTAGCGACGGATAATGATTATACGACGTGTCTGTTATCTGTCTGTACAGTATTCTCTATCATGCTATTCTATACAACGGAGAGTTTAAGTGTCGTCATGCATTTGTTCACGTTACTCGCACTCAATCTTATTCCGCGTTCGCCCGCGCTCGCGTCGCGTACGTTTCCATATATTTCTCTTAGAGATCTTTTTTCTCTTTTTGAGAGATTTTCCTTTTGATTTTTGAAGAAACGCGTAAGACTTATACATGAGTAAGATTAATATTATGGAGTTAAATTTCTATCGTTTATATATATATATATATGTATACACGCGAGAGGGGACGTAATGTTACAAATGTCCGCGCCGAGGTGTGCTCAGATCAACCGTACGCACTTCTTGCGGCAGGGGAACGAGTATAAGCTAAGTTCTTTTGTAGTTTGTAATACACGCCGACTTGTAGAACCTATTGCTTCGATTAGTGCTCCGACGGACTGATTTGTTAAAAAAAAAGAAATGGAGGTTTTCAGGCTTATACTTCATTCGGCTTGTGCTTATGACACTAAGGGGAATGCAATAGAAATGAATCACCGACGAACTATTTCTTACACTGCCTATATCATATACGTTACGGCTAATAGTAATATTGAATTCATTAGTGATCATAATCATGTAAATGTATCTTTCGGTCCAACCTCTCTCTCTCTCTCTCTCTCTCTCTCTCTCTCTCTCTCTCTCTCTGTTTCCTTTATAATATTTTTTTGTACTTGTGATAAACTGATTGATCCCACCCTTTCTTTATGCTCTTCTCTTTATCAAAAGAATCATGCTCAACAGAAACGGTAATAGTTTGTACGAGTGAGTTTTAGTCGTCAGACATTTACTTGGAAGAAATTGTATTATTGACAGAGAAACAAAAATTTTAATGTGTTTTATATAATGTGTATTATAGTAATCTTATGTCTATTTATATATACATGTATTTATTTCTAATTTTTTTCCGTGTAAAATTACTCTCCTAAAGAATCGAGACCAACGTACTGATTCACTAATACAAAATTTTAATATTGCTTTATACATTGATATAAGATTAAAGATGAAAATAAAAATAATTACCAAACTAAGTTGTTTCTCTTGGTTTGAGCAACTGCATAGCATCGTCCTGGAACAGTGCTGTTAATATTGTACTTTACTGCTACTGCACTATTGTATACTATCTTTGGCTTTTTACAATTTGTATTTATTATAAATACATATTATAATACATATCTAAAATCTTGAGTTCACAGAGTTACCGTTGTATCATGTATCAAGGTAACTGCGATATATCGCAGTTATGTTATATTACACAACGTCCATGTAGCTAGCTCATTCTCAGCTCGTATTCCCCATTATTTCTTGCGTTCGGAAACAGTCGCTTACAATTTTCCACTTGTCACCCACAGCCGTAATTAGGAAAGTTTGATTAAACGACTTGGCGTTTTTCTCCTCGTACTTGACATGTCCACCAACTTTGATTAGGAATGTCAACTGGGTAGCCGCTTCTAAACCTGTATTTAACAGTGCACTACGCTATAATATTTCGATGCAAATAATCTATCTATAGTGCTTCTTATAGTACTATAAACAGCAGGATAAATTTAGCCAACTTTCGGGAGATATCATATATTACCAGAAGTTAGAGATGAAGTAGTGAAGTGAAAATGCGGACGTCAACTTAATACACACAGGTATTTTTAAATGACAAAATATTGTAATGTAATTAATTTAATTGAGATGTGGCAAGAAAGTTTCATCAAAATCTGAGCCGTGGGAAATCAAGATACAAAAAGAAAATGTAACAGATCTGATATTTTCGAATACTTTTACCCGTTACTCTGGTATTTTTATAATTGAGAATGCAAGAGTGTGGTGCGCAGAGATTAGCATTTACCTGTAATTGGCTGAGCGTCAAGAGTAAGAATGTTGTGCACGGATGTTGGCAGATCTGTCCAGAACTTTTGTATGTTATCCTTGCCTTCAACTCCATTTCCATTCCATATCAGATTCGCGGTATCCATGTACATTCTTGAGAGTAACTGAAATCATACACAATCATTAAGATATAACACACCAACTAAGTCAAGAGAAGAAATAAGTTTGACAATATTATTGTTACTTACGTATCTCCGCTTGTCTAGATTCTCATAATATAGTTTTGTGAACTCCTCTGCAGTTCTACATGCTTGGTCGATTTTAGATTTTAAGTCCTGCGAAAGTGAACATATAATATAAGAAATATGATATAATCAAATGTAATCAAATGTTCAAACCATATAAGGCATTAGTACACTGGTCACTTTCAAAAGTTCTAACTTTATAAAAATATATTTGTGTCGGAAGAATAATCTACAATTTATTTATTATATGCAATTACTGATATATTTTAATATTAACACATGATATCATTGATACTAATATGTAGCGGTGATATCAATATACAATATAGATAAGACCTTATTTTGTAAAATGTGGAGTAGACAATGTCCTAGTATTTTACATTGTGATTTTTAATTTAAAACTTTTAAATATGATTGTTATATAATGCGACGCCTGTTATAAGCATAATTAATTTATCATCAACCCACGTATGCTATCTCTACATACCTGCTCCATTTTTACTTTTTCGTTTGAAACTTTATCGTGTTTTTCGTCTCTTTTCCAAAATCTGAAGATCACAATATTTATATATATTCACAACAATTTTATCCCTCGTTCCTTTTTCTATATTCTTTCATTTAATTTATTTAATACAAAATTTCGTATACGTCATAATATACGCACCATCAAAAAATAGAAGGTTAAGCGTCAGCTCCACAAAAAATAAAAGATTAAGTTTCACCTACACATAAGAGGTCTGTTCGTTTTCGCTGGACCGCTGAACTAGTGCAATAAGTTGAAGCGAGACAAGTATATGTTTTCTCACTTCAACTTATTGTACTAGTTCAGCGGTGCAGCGGAAACGAACAGACCTATAGTTGCCAATAGATTTCTCTGTTTTTTTTTATTGCATGCGTAGGGTAGTATTTATAAGCTGCGTTCAATACAACGATCGAATGAGCGCTTACTGTTATTGGCTGCGTTCAACGGAACAATACGATCAAAAATTTTTAGCTTTTACTGCTAGATCCCAAAATTTAGGCCAATTACGTTGATGAATTTCTCAACCATTGGACAACTGTTATATTTTCTGAACGCAGTCAGTGGTGTATCCAATACTACACTGCTCAATGAATTCTGGCATCTGATTGGAGTATATTTACAAAACTAAAAGAATATGCCAATTAAACGCAAGAGTTCAGTGAGCGCTTAAATAAGCTTTTGCACCCTATTGGTATATTTTTTTAAGACCCAACAGATAGAATTGTGTTTTCTGAATGTATCCATTGTTAGATTTTAAAGCGGTATTCATAGTCGAATTATTTTAGAGACCGTCTTAAGTATCTTCAGATATTTCATGGCCAATGAAATGAGCCGTACAACACCTGCAAATGAATTTAAAACAGTTTTAAATGGCATTTACAATGAAAATTTAAAACGTATAACTTAAACTTCAAACTTTAAGCGGTAAAAAATTGACCAATCACGATTGATCATTCTCCTCACATTAGAGTGTGGTTGATCAATTTCTTGCAGCTTAAGACTTGTTTAAGCTTTTAAGCTTTAAGCTTTAAAGCTAAAGGTTTAAAGCTTGAATTATAAGTTTTAAATTTTCATTATAGACGCCGCTTTATGTATAAGATCCGACTGTGAATACCACTTTAAGTCTAAGAATTACAAAAAAGGTGAGCAAATTCACTAGATGTTGATCAATGAAATTAATATAAGTATTCTAGTAAATTCACTCGCTTTTTTAATTTTCGTTTTGAAATACACCATCGACCCCCAAATCCACAATAAGTTCCATATTCTGAACTCTCTTTAATTAACCAGTTAACTGTTTTTGACGAGTATACTCGTCATGAAAAAAGTACAAAATTTTGGCGGCAATTTAAGGTACGGCAATTTAAGGTTAAAATTTTGTACTTTCTTCATGACGAGTATACTCGTCAAAAACAGTTAACTGGTTAATAAAAATGCTTCGAAAAGTCGCTTAGAAACCACCTGATTTAAGACACTTTTATCGATAAAAGAGCGATCAGAATACGGACGGTAGTAATTTATCAGCCACCCGAGGATTCAGAGACTTCTGTCATTGGCCGGCCTGCTTCGAAACTGTCAAACACAGCTGTGGGTCACGGTGCACGAAGAGTGAAGAGATGCGATTCGTCGATTCGGAAGCGTCTGAGCCGAAGGCCAAAAGGGGTCGCAACGTCAACAAAACGGAGGGTTCACCGGGCGAGCGACGGGTCTGCGCTTCCATTGGCGGAGTCTCTCGGAGCCGGCTATTGGCGACCATTGGCGACAGGTTGGAACCTTCCTCGAGCGGGTCGGCGACCGTCGGCACGTCAGCTTCCGCTCTTACGGCGCTCCGTGGCCCGCGTCCGAGACGAGATCGCGAGATCTCGCTGGGTCGGTCACGTGACACCGTACTTCCACAGTTATTTTTTCAGGCATGATGGCGCCAAACGCCAGTATCTACTTTTATGTAAATATATTATTGATTTGGTGCGTACCGCGATCAAGCACGAGCGTTCGCCGTATCGCGGCCGGCCGTCGAAAGTAGCCCCGTCGCGGGGTAGCGCGCGGACCGCCGGCGGAGTGAGTAACGGACTGGCCTGGGCCGCCCGCCTGGAATCGCTAATGAGGACATGTTGGTTAGGCTGCCGTGACACAGAGAGAGAGAGGAGGCCGTTACGCACTTGCTCGCAGCAGCCCGTCGGCGTGTTCGCGGCGGCTCGGGAGCGCGCACGGCGACCGCCGGCGGCCCCGCGGCCGGTTTCACGCCCGCACGCGATCACGTGCCGCCTCGCGCGCGGAAATATATCCGGCTAATAGATCAATAATAAGGTATTTAATGGTCTTCCCGAGTGTGTGTGTGTGCGGGGGAGACTTGTGGTGGAGTGCGCCCGACGCTGCTGCCATCTGTATTGTCAATGTTGTCGGCCAGCAGCAGCAGCACCAGCAGCAGCAGCAGCAGGATCACCAGCAGCAGCAGCAGCACCAACAGCATCAGCAGCAGCGTAATGGAGTGAGCATTCTCGCGTTGGATTTACGAAGCGCGCCCTTGTGCCACACGGGAACTCACGTTTACCATGAGATTGTACGCCGTACGCGGCCCGCTCGACCGTCGACACGTGCAGTGAGTGTGATTAGCGCCCTACGCCGTCGTACGCAGCGCGGTCGCGCGCGGCGGGCGCCCTGTCCTCCGCGTCAATGTTTACATGAAACGCACGACGACGGCGAGCGTTCGCACGAGCCAGCGGCGGATCGCGCGACAGGCTCACCCGGCCCGATCCCGCCGTCACCGGCGGTCTCGCGGTGCACGGCCCGCGTGCTAACGTCCCGAGCGGCCGTCGCCCCCGCGACCCACCGCCGGGACTGCGGCCGACACGCGCATCCACCCGCGGATAGACTAGCTGCCTTTTTTATAACCTCTTTGAGTACTCGAGGAGCTCGCTCGCACGGCCCGCCGAGGTGGCCCCCCCGTGTGACACGGCGACCTCGCCATCCGCAGTGGTGCTCGCGCCTACGTCGGAACATGTCTGCTCGGCGGCATCGCCGGAGTGTTGTTGACCCATGCGCCCTTTGTGCACCTGTGCCCGCGGCTATCGTCCGGACGTTCGCGCCACTTCACGTGCATTTCTTACCGACGAACTCTAACTCCTTTTTATCCTTTTCCGCGACCTGTCCTCAGGTTTTGCACCCGCCGTTTGCGTTGCCTCTCCTCGCGTTTTGTGGTTAGTGGCACTGCGTGTCTCCTCGTTACCGCACCGCTGCTACACGTAGCTCTTGTCATGTTTCTCATATTTTTCTACGGATACGGGAGATTTCGCGCCTTCGTTACGACAGAAAGCACTGCCAGTGACGGAAGTACAGGTGGAATTTCACAAACCACTTTGTATCGGGATTCTTATTGAGAACGCAGGAGTCTAACCAGTGACTGAGCCAATGGTTGACGTTGTTTTGGATCCACCGAATTTGCTTCTATGAGTAACGCCAATCAATAAGACACATTAAAGGCGCGCTGTATAATTGATGAACTTCAGAAAAGATTGATGCTTAAAGCGTGCATGTGATAAAACAATAACAACGTGGTTTCCAAGCGGTACATGTTAGACACTAATGACAAGAGCTAGTTTGTGATGCGGTGTGACCTCCTAAAGCATGTTTCCCTCTTTCTCGAGCAATTTTTATCACAGGTACCTTAAATTTTATCTTGAATGAACTTTGTGTTGACTCATAAGTAAGATTATATATATCGTCACACAATTTCCTCACTGATTTTTAGAAGGTTATAACGGATCTTTTGTTTTATGTTTCAGTTCTGAAGAAAATCTACTTTCCAGATAATAAATATATGGATAACTATGTAGTAAGTTGATCTCTCTCTGTTCTCGGAACACTGTTTATAGAATTCATGTCACGCAGAGAAAAGGATGTTCACAAAGTGCGCGATTGTTACATTTCAGGGTGCACACAGCTCACCTGCATGTGCCACGTACCACTAGCTCACTTGGTATAGTAGAATGGCACAACGAGGCAAGAGAGTCCACAGAAACGACAATGATCTGGCGTCTTATCCGGGCGCTATTAAGAGGCGCAAGTGTAGACTGGGCCCAGCTGCCACAGGTTCATCGTCACTGGCAGCAACCATGGGGCCCTCAGAAGAGGAGGAAACGATGGCGTCATCCAGCCAAGTGGGGGCATCCTGGACCCCCCGACCTGTCAGTGATATCAAGATCTCCAGCATATACAACCGATCGGCTGCTGAGGCACCAGCAGAGTTATTTCGCAAGGACCTGATCAGTGCTATGAAATTGCCGGACAGTGAACCGTTGAGTCCGAACGAGTATTGGGTTATAACTGATCAGTGGAAGCAGGAGTGGGAAAGAGGTGTTCAAGTACCCGTTAATCCGGATTCTCTTCCCGAACCGATGGTTACTGTTATGCAGACGTCTCCTTTAAAGTTACACACCGAATTCAAATTGTGAGTGTATTATGCTTCACGTAGTGCGTCATGGCTTAGCCGGGAACTGCTAAAGTGTAAGATCTCTCACGATATGGTATTGCGTTTCAGGCCTAAAAAGTTCATAAGAATAACTCGTGATGATTATTTTAACTCGGAAGACCATCATTTAAGTACCACCCCAGCGAGAGCGGAGAAAGCCTGTGCTTATGACCTTGACGATGCTGACATTGCCTGGCTGGATATATTTAATGGCGAACGAGCGCAGGTATGATGACACTTGATGGCTGTAGTAGAACACACGCATTTCTATCTTGAAAATTGGACGTTTAGTCGATTTGGCTAAAAGTATGCTGAATCAATGATACATTTTATCGGGGCAAGATGCAAGAAAACTGATTAGTGTCAAAATGTATTTAACAGATTTGAATTTCCAATAATGAATTCCCAATCTTTTCACTTATATATATATATATATAGTTTCTCTTTATATCAATTATTGTTTAGTAAAGAATATCGTACGTTTATTTGTATTTTTCAAAATTTCACGGAGAAATCTTGCCTGTAAGCACATGAAAGGCAACTATATAGAACTTACAAGCTAATTAATATCATTTTGTGTGAAAACTATCAAGGCTGGACAATTGCCAATTACGGAGTCGCAATTGGAACGTGTCATGGAAGAGTTGGAGGTGCGATGTTGGGAGAGGATACAGACGATTGTGAAGAACGAAGAGGGGCTTGGAATCGAGTACGACGAAAACGTCATTTGTGATGTGTGCAGATCGGTGAGTGATTCATTCGTTCTCACGCAATGTCACACTTTGGAGAGTACGTAGGATTATCGTTCGTCCTTCATGCGTTATATCGAATTACTACTTTGACTTAAGATTCGACGATATCTAACGAAAGCTTTTCATGACAGCCGGATTCGGAGGAGGGCAATGAGATGGTGTTTTGTGATTGTTGCAACATATGTGTACATCAAGCTTGTTACGGTATTACCTCGATACCTGATGGCTCTTGGTTATGTAGAACTTGTTCGTTAAGTCAAAGACCCGACTGTGTATTATGCCCTAATAAGGGTGGTGCAATGAAGTGTACACGAAGTGGTCAGAAATGGGCTCATGTATCGTGTGCGCTCTGGATTCCCGAAGTTAGCATTGGTTGCGTGGAGCGAATGGAGCCAATCACGAAAATATCCAGTATTCCGGTAAATAATACTCCCACGACACTCATCTTTCTCCGTGTATGCTGCGTCGTTTTGCGTTATATCTGAATTTGCATTATATATACCGTTTGTTAATTAAAAATCACGTTATATCTGAATTTGGATTATATATACCGTTTGTTAATGAAATATTTACTACATATGAAAAGTATCTATTCAGTATCGCTTATTATTTGAAAAGTTTCTCTCGATGTTGTCTGAGTTAATTCGGGATTACGTTGCTGTCGCGACTGTTCTCGACACGGCGACGAATTGACCGAGCGCATAAATTAAAATTGCAGCAAAGTCGGTGGGCCCTAATTTGCGTTTTATGCCGCGAACGCGTGGGTGCCTGCATTCAGTGCAGTATAAAGACATGTAAGACAGCGTACCACGTAACGTGCGCATTCAAGTATGGGCTCGAGATGAAGGCGATCATCGAGGATGAGATGGCAGACGACGGCGTGAAATTGAGGGTGAGCAACCTTTTCAGCGCGGGTATTCAGATCCGTCGACACGCTATCGTTCGCCGCGAGTGGGACCACGAGTTAATCCAATAATTCTGTTTTTAGTCGTATTGTCAAAAGCACAGTAGAACGAATACAAAAGACAAAGTCGGCGTTGGTGGTAGCGTAGGAAGCGGCGGTGGAAAGGGTGGCTCGGATTCCGAAGACGGCGAGTCCAGACGGCGCAAACGAAAAGACATGACTTCCGAGGAGAAGAATCAAGCGCGCGCAGCTAAGTATGTGATTCACTTGACGCGCGCTCTCGAGGATTGTGATGACGCTTTGTGGTGACACCTTCGCCGAAAGATTTGATCTTCACTTTTATCTCAATTTTAATGGGATGCCATTTAAGGGGATGCCAAAATCAATGACGAACTTGATAAGTATCGATAACGTAGATCCTCAATACGTCACATAAGTACCGACACAATCACGCTGCTCTTTTTGTGTTTTTTGTACGTGTGTGGATCTTGCGGAAATGTGCGATATAAAAAGAATGAAAACGATGAAAATATATGTTACTCCGTTTAACCGTATTTAACCCATTTGCATCCGTAAGCGGAATATTCCGCGCGTGACGATCGTCTCCTATCACCGAGCGCGGAATATTCCGCGAGCCGCGACTCTCTTTTAAATCGATCATTTTCAAAAATACCATGTTAGATAAACTCTACGAACTATTCGGAAGTCATTTACTGTAGAAGTTAACTGTGTACTGTAGAACGAGTGTACTGTAGAAGTTAACGAAAATAATAAAACTGCCGATATACGGCAGGGCGCGCGCGGTGATACGGGTCAATTGAACACCGCTGATGCCTGAATACAGAAACTTAAGTAGAATCATGATGTAAATGGGTTAACGGAAGAATGTATTAATTGTTTTTGCATACTTTCCGCATCCTTCTAGGTCGTTAAATTTGGAAAAATATAAAAATATTCTTTGAAATTTTCCAGAAAAAATAATCCTGTATCGGATAAATATTTACGCTCACTGACATGTCAATTTTGGAATTTTCATTTTTGTTTTTCATTTTCGTCACATTGAGCAATGCTCCAATTAATTTTTACGCATGCTTTACCGTAAGAACACTTATAATTCTGTGTAGTCGATACGACGTAAGCTTCGTGGAGAGAAATCGATATTTTGCCGGCCAAGTTTTCAGATATGGCATCCCCTTAATTGAAGCGCGATTTGAACAAAAGGGCGGTATTTCTCCAGCGGATACATTTGCTCTTGCATCATTAGACGATACACTCTTCGTGCGTGGCCTCTGTTTTACACGTATTTAAGTCTTTGCTACATTCTGAAGATGTGCGTTGCGCGAAGAGCCGAACGTAATCAGCATTGTTTCCACGTCAGGTTGCAGGAAATCGAGGCGGAATTTGACAAGCATGTTAGTATAAAGGACATTACCTCTCAGCAATTGGATATAGATCCCGATAGCATTGTGTACATTTATAACTACTGGAAGCTGAAAAGAAGGGTAAGTCGTCGATAGAACGCGCGGATTCGCGAAATTGTCGCGTTGAACGCTCGGTATGCTCTTTATCACATCCCGCAGGGTTGCCACAGATCTGGAAAGTCGGGAAAAGTCAGAGAAAAATCATGGATGTTTAAATTGGCACAGGGAAAACCTGAGAAAGTCAGGGAAAAATATGAGGTAAAGGTACCAATGCTTGGATACGCACCTAATTCTGGACATTCGTATATATACATAGAATATATGCAAATATTGTATATTTAAAGATTAAACATTCGTATTTAAAGACTAAGGCCCGTATTCTGAACCTTCTTTTATCGATAAAAGTGCCTTAAACGTGGCTCCTTAGCAGCCGATCAGATGGTTTCTAAGCTACTTTTAGAGGCACTTTTACCAATGCGAGTCCTCAGAATATAGATCTAAAATAACGAGAATATTCACAGTTTGGTACGTGTTCAAACGTTGATACTTTTACCTTAAAAGAGTTGCTCGTAATTCCTCTAAATGTTCTTATTCTAAAGTCTTATGATTATTTTTTTTTTAATATATCTAACATTTACAGTCAAATGTGTTCCAAACTGGCGCACTTTGCGAATCACTTCTCACGTATCAGTGCGCGTGGCGCATAGAAAAACCTGAGCAATAATAAAAGTGACGAATTAAAGTCGATTATTCCTTGGCCACAAGGAGAATAATCGAAGGTAATTGGTCAATTTTATTCCGCGTTTTTATTCAATCGTTTTTTCCCCCGTGGTCGCTGCATTCTTTTTCCTCAATATACATTTATTTTTCCTTGTCCTGCATTTATATCTAGGATCGTATCGCTGAACTCCTTGTATTGCTTCTAACAATACAAGCTACCGTTCCCGCAGTCCCTGCTTTGAAACGTTAAAACTTAAGATCGCGCGTTGTCCGTGGAAGATTCTCCAATGTCTGGTAAATACAGGGAAATCGGGGGATCCCGTTCTCTGTGGCGACCCGGCTCTGTGCCGAGCGGTGGCAGCGTCGGTGTAACGTGACGTTTTCCAGGCCGGCCATAACAAGCCGCTGTTAGCGCCTCGTTGCGGGGAGCTATCGAGCGCGGGGGCGCGCGCCCAGGGTCAAGCGGCGGACATGGAGAAGATGCGCACGTTCGTGCAGCTGCGCCAGGACCTCGAGCGAGTGCGCAACCTCTGCTACATGGTGGGCCGTCGCGAGAAACTCTGTCGCTCCTTCCTGCGACTGCGCGAGCAGACCTTCCACAAGCAGGCCCTGCTGCTGGCGGGGCCGCCGTTGCCGCCGGCGGCGGCCGCCGCGGTCGTCGAGGCGAACCACGGCCCGTCTATATACGACCGCCTCTACTCCCACCCGGATTCCGAGGATCACACCCACGACTTCGAGACGATCGTCGCGCGGATCGCGGGCGTCAAGTCGCCGACGCCGGTGTCGAGCGACGAGAAGAAGGTGCAGCTGGACTTCAACGGCGCGTCCAACAAGAAGCTGTACTTCAACGGCTCCGTGAGGAGAAAGAGTCTGTACGGCAGCGACCTGTCGATCAGCAGCAGCGAGACCGAGGTGACGAAGCCGACGAAGACGGCCGCCGGCAAGTGCGCGAGCAAATCGAAGCAGCCGGCCGGCGTGAAGGCCGAGCTCGAGTCGAGCACGGAGGAAGAGGCGGACGCGTCGAAGAGCAAAACGCCCGCCCGGCGAAAATCGAAGAAGGCCAGCGCGCCGGACAGGCCGCGGCCTAAACTACGGGACAACAGCGAGAGCGACAAGCTGGACACCGTCAACAGCAGATCGCGCACCTTGCAGCACATGGAGAAGGAGCTCGGCAGCGCGTCCGGGAGCGAGAGCGACGACGAGTTCCTGCCGTTGAGCACGAACGCCGCTTCTCGCCTCGGGCCCTCCGTCGCCTCTGCCATCTACTCGGACACCGACTCGGACTCGGTGGAGCATCACTCCTCGCACTCGGCCGTGCTCATCACCAAGGCCGCGGTGAAGGAGTTCTCGGCAGCGGAGATCTCGAAGAACGCCACCTCCCAGAAGAACTTCGCGAACAAGGACAGGCAAGAGTACCACCACGCGGACGAGCCGAAGAGCAAGGAGAACGCGAAGGGCTCGAAGAAGAAGGAGTACATACCGTCTGCCCTGATAGTGCCGCAGCGGCAGGCGGCGAAGAAGGCGTCGGAGATAATGCAGCGCGCCCAGGGCAAGAAGGAGAACACCGTGAACGAGCCCGTGGAGTTTGTCAAGTCGCCCGGGGAGGAGCAGCCGGTCAAGCCGGCGAAGCCCTCGTCGGCCAAGGAGAAACCGTCCAGCAAGAAGCAGCGCGACAGCAAGCCGGCCAAGGACACGAAGAATAACGACGTCTACGACTTCGACAAGGACTTCGGTGACGGCACCGAGATCCTGGCTTACGTGCCGCAGCGGCAGGCCGCGAAGAAGGCCGCGGAGCACATCAAGAGCGGCATGGGCACCAAGACTGCTCCACCGGACTTGGAGACCGCGGAGGTGAAAGGGACGAAGAAGGAACTGCCGGACGGCGGCAAGAGGAAAGACGCGAAGAAGGAGGAGTCGCCGAAGAAAGAGGAGCTGCCGAGGAAGGATGAGCCGCCGACGAAGGAGAGGAAAGGTAACAAGAAGCCGGTGGCAGCCGAGAGCAGCAAGAGTGCGTCCTCCGCGTTGACGAGCAACAGCGAGAGCAGCAGCAGCAGCAGCTGCAGCAGCTCCTCCGAGAGCAGCAGCGACTCGGACGTGGCGAAGAGCCCGTTGCAGAAGAGCGCCAACAAGGAGCCGACCTCCTCGTCGACCACCACCACCTCCTCCGAGAGCGACACCGGCAATCAGGTGAAGAGCAGCAACAGGACCCTGAACAAACGGCAAGTGAACAAAGTCGTGCACGACGACAACGAGGCCGAGAAGTCTCTCGCGGGGCGGAAACTCAAGAAGCTGCCCGATAAGAAGCTTAAAACTTCCGACGGGCGGCATGGACCAGAGTTTCAGCCGCCGCTTACTGAGAGAGAAGAATCAGGTCGAGCCATCGTTCCTAAAGAGTCGCAACAACAGCAGCAGCATCATCACCATCACCACCCGCAGCAGCAGCAGCCATCACTCGGTAAGAAAGCAGATCAAAGAGATTCCAAAAAGTCCGTGCAATCATCACAGCAACAACAACAACAACATCAACAAACAGGCCAAGGTGTGCTCGCTGGGTCTCGAGATAATGATGGGCTACGAAGTGTACCTGGGCCCAAGTCTACCAAAAAATCTGGTCAGCCTGTCAGACAGACCCAGCAGTCTGCGTCTCGAAGCAAGGAGGACGCAGGCTCCCGAGCGAAGTCGGAGACTCGCAAACGAAAATCAAGCGAGACCGCCGCGAAGGACGAGAAGGTCGTTAAGGAGTCGCTGCCGCTCAAGAAGGTGGAAAAGAAACTGAGCGAGAGGTCGAGCCGGGAGACCGAGAAGGAGAGCAAGCACGACATTAGCGGTAAGAACGCGCCGGAAGCAACGGCCGAGCCGACGAAGACGAGCGAGAACAGCACCGCCGGCGTCGCCAAGGCGGACGACAAGAAGACGAAGAAGACGAGCCACAGGAACGCGATCAATACTCTGGAGGAGGAGATGAAGCAGCGACGGGCCGAACGCGACGCCCCGAAGAAGCCATCGAGGGGGCTGGACAAGCTGCTCGAGAAGCGCGAGCACCTCGACAAGCTGTCGCGCAACCGAACGGCCGCCGGGCAGGAGGTGAAGCTGGAGAAAACGTCCTTTGTCGAGGAGAACAACGACAAGGACGTGCTGCCGGAGAAGCCCGTTGCCAAGGAGACCTTCAAGGTCGAGGACGACGTGAAGAACCACATGAGCGAGCAGGCGGAGGTGTTGAACACCACGAAAGTGGAGAAAGAGGAGGAGTCGGAGAAGGACATCGTCGAGGTCGTGCCGGATAAGCCGGAGCGCAGGAAGAAGGTCGAGCAGAAGCCGGAGAGTGTCGGCGAGGCGCAGGCCGTCGAGACGGTGGCTGTCGGAGGGCCGGTGGACGTCGGCAAGGAGGCCGGCGACAACAACGTCTGCTCGAAGTCGGCGCCGGAGAAAGCGCCGGTGCTGACGGTCGACGTGGTGCCCGAGAAGGAGTGCCAGAAGAGGAGGAAGTCCGTGAATCGGTCCATCTTCTCGCCGCAGCACCACGGCGGCAAGGACCCGAGCGTGTCGGAGCTGTTCGACTTCGACCACGACGTGCTGACGGACGACATGGTGATCGACGACGGCATCAGCATACCGCGCGACGAGGAGCGCGCGGCGCCGCTCACCTTCTCCTTCAACAACGAGCTCTGGTTCAAGGAGGACTCGAAGGAGGACAGCGCGCGCGAGACCCTGCACCTGGTGGAGAAGCTCCGCATGGAACTCTCGAAGAAGTCGAATTCTAGTCAGTTCGAGTTGGAGTCGGTTCCGGCGGAGGAGGAGCCCAGGAAGGAGGAGGCGCAGCCGGAGAAGCCCGTGTTGGAGCAGCCGCAGCAGCTGATACTCCCGGAGAAGGCGGAGGTCCCGGAGCAGCCGGTGGAGCAGCAGCCGCCTCCGGCGGTCCTCGAGATGAAGAACGACGAGCCCATGCAGGTGGAGCCCGAGGACGACGAGCTGGTCAAGTGCAAGAGCCACGGGGCGATGGAGGAGAAGAGGAAGCCCTGCTACTCGAGCAACAACAGCGAGCACTACATGTACGGGAACGAGGAGCGCGAGACGACGGCGAAGGTGACGGTGGTGGAGCGCGCCAAGCTGGAGATGGACGCGGACGCGGACGAGAGATGGGTGCCGCCGAGCTTGCCACCCTGTCCGCCGGAGAACTACAATCTCGGGGCGCTGATGGACAACCAGAACCACCGGTACGCCGGCCACCCGCAGTTCCCGAACGACATCGGCGCGGTGATGCCGGACACCGGGAACCCCGACCTGGTCCACCTGCAGCTCAACATCAACATGCAGGAGCAGTACCTGCAGCTGCAGCAGACCCACTCGATGGAGCGGGTGCAGTCGCACCTGGAGCAGCAGCAGCACGCCGAGCAGTCGCGGGTGCAGTCGCTCGCGATGATGGACCAGCAGGTGATCCCGGCGCAGATGTCCGTGGAGGACAGCCTGACGCCGATGGAGATGGTGAACCGCCACCTGATCGGCCTGCCGAACTCCGAGGACGACCAGGGCAGCGAGATGGACCGCGTGCTGGACAAGGACGAGATCTCGCCGGACATCAGGCAGGACTACACGCAGGGCGGCTCGCCTTACAACGAGCTGAACGGCGCCCGGCCGGACACGCGTTGGGCGGAGAGTCAGGTGCTCCCGTCGCGACGTTCCACCTCGTCCTCCATCACGTCGGCCTCCTCGGCGGAGGAGCACGCGGCCATGCCGCCGTACAAGGGCGTGCCGCCGATCCCGTACCCGCCCTGCACGATGGACGCGGCGCCTTACCACTACTCGGAGACGAGCTCCTACGGCGCCGGCGCGGTCTCTCTCTTCCCGCCGCAGTCCTGCAACGCACCCTTGCCCTATCCGTCGCCGGGCACGGCCATGTTCCCGCCGCCCTTCGGCGCGGCCTTCCCCACGCCGCAGTCCTTGCTGCCGCACGTGCCGAAGCCGCTCGAGGAGTCGCTCAACATGCAGGCTTCCCCGTGCACCGCGGCCTTCACCTCGTCGTCGCACAACATGGCGCTCACCGCAGCCATGGTGTCGCCGACGAAGGTGACGACGCCTCCCCCGCAGCCCCCGCTGCCGCAACCGGCGGTGCAACAGCCGCCGACACCGGTGCCACCGCAGCTGCAGCCGTCGGAGGCGTTGCCGCAGCAGGTGAACTCGCCCACCGTGCCCGCGTCCTTCCTCAACGCCATCCCGGAGACGCGGGTGAGCGAGACGGCGGCCGCGGAGAGCGTACCGGAAGTACTTACGGACAGCAAGAGCGCGCCTTGCGGCAAGAAGTCGCCCGCCAAACCGACGAGGACGTCCGCCCGGGTGACGTCGTTGCAGGGCAAGTCTCCGGGCAAGTCGCCGCGTCAAGAGACCGGCAAGAGCGTGCCGAGCGCTCGCGGTCGGGGCCGGGGCGCCAAGGGCAGCCAACAGTCGAGCTACCGAGGCCGCGGTCGCGGTCGGGGCAGACGCGGCCGGGGCAGCCAGAGCGCGATGCCGATGCCGGCCATGGTGGCGAACGCGCTGCACAACGACGATTCGATCCAGAACAAGCTGGTCGGCACGGTGTACGACTTCGACTCGGACGAGGACTCCGCGAACGAGACCAACATCGCGGACCTGCGGATGATGCGCGAGCGCAAGAAGTCGACCGACGTGAACGAGAAGCGCGTCGAGCCGCTCGGCTTGGCGAACGACGCCGTCCACCAGTCCCACCTCTCCAGTCCCGGCGGTCTGCACAAGAAGTACGGGGACGACAAGAAGCTGTCGTCGCCGGCGACGCACGACCCGGCCGGCCTCGGCAAGTCCGAGACGAGCGCGGGCCAGGCGTTCGCCGACACGGTGATGCCGCTGCTGCCGGGCCCGGTGGATATGCGCACCTATAACTCGACGGTGGACCAGCCGAGCTCGTCTGTGCACGGCCAGTCGTACGGCAACCACCTGCTGGGCTCGTTCGCCGCGGGCGTGTCCGCCGACCCGAACCTCCAGGACATGGAGGACTTCGAGAGCGAGCTGCATTCCGTGCTGAAGAAGGCGAGCACCGGCAAGCAGCAGCTGGTCGCGAGCGACGGCCTGGAGGCCGGCTGCGTGAAGCCGGGCTACGCCGACCCGTCGGCCATCGACCCGGCCGCCGCGTCCAGCTTCAACGACACCACCAACAAGGTCTCTCTGACGGACTCGAGGAACCAGCTGAAGGTGAAGATCAAGGGTCCGTTCCTCGACGCCAACTACGTGCCGGCGTCGTCGGTGCCGCCGTTGGCGCAGCAGGCGCCGGTCATCATCACCCCGACCGCCAACACCGCGGCCGTCGCGTCCGGCACGTCGAACCTGCGTCGCATGCGGAAGAAGGAGCTGCTGCGGCAGTACTGCTCGCAGGACATGAACATGGACGACCCGGCGCGCGAGAACGTCACCTCCGCGCCCATCAACATGCAGCCGATCAACCACGGTCAGCGCACGGTCATCACCATCCCCAAGGCGGTCGCGTCCATGACCAGCATACCGACCCGGGAGGACTACAAGGCGGTCGTCGACGCGAACATGGAGAAGAAACGGCGGAAAGAGCGCGGCGGCGGTGGCAGCGCCGGCAACGCCGCGAGCGTCGCCGTCGGCGCCACCGCCGGCGGCGGCTTCCTCGACGTCACCGCCGAGGAGGAGGCCGGCTCCGAGAGGAGACGCAGCATCATGGTCAGCACGGTCGACCGGCGCAGGGGCCGGCAGGCCAGGCCGACCGCGACCGCGGTGACGAACAGCGCGCACCCGAAGCTGAAGATCAAGATCGGCAACAGCATAATCGGCGGGCAAGAGGTAGGTAACGCGCAGGACGATTGCAGCAGGATCCGGCCGCCGAAGAAGCGGCTCAGCAGCATCCCCATCACCGCGCCCAGCATGGAGGAGCTGCGTCGTGAGAGTATGAAGTTCCGCAAGATGATCATGGCCGGCTTCGACAACGACGAGAAGACGAAGGCGCGCAGCAAGCGCGACAAGAACGGCAAGCGGAAGAAGCGGCAGTACAGCAAGAAGGAGGCCAGGGTGCAGATCTTGGAGGGCGACGCGCCCAAGCTGATCATTCGGCTGGGCAAGCCGGGCGCCAACTCGACCTCCAGCAGCGCCGCCGCCGCCTCGGCGAGCGTCGACGCGGCGACGAGCGACGTGTCCGCGATCTTGCTCGCAGCCGGCGACGAGAACGCCAATCAGCAGGGATCGACCGATAACAAGGACAGTCGAGTGGGCCCACCGCCGCCGGAGCCTTCCAAGGAGGAGGTGGTCTATCCGGTGGAGGGCGGCCTCGACGAGAAGCAGCCGACGGAGCCGAACGCCGGCGCCACCGCCCTCAGGAACGTCCGGTCGGCGAAGGTCACGCCGATCCGGTTAAAACTGACCCGCTGCCTGGAGGGCTATGAACTCAAGGATCCGGTGGCGAGTAGCGCGAGTGTGGACGATGCCAGTCGTGGCGGTAGTAATAACAGTAGTGCGACCACGACGGCGACGGTGGTGAACTCGGTGGCGCCGTTGCCGGTCCAGGAGGCGAC